CACATGGCTCTGGATTGGCTGCACCTTCTGAGGGGCAGCTGCTGCTGACCACTAGGAAAGCACTGCCCCTCCCCCCCCCGGCTGCCCTCCCCACGCGTTGGCCATGTTGTGCCGGGCAGTGGGTCACAGGACAGTCCTATGAGCTCTGCGTGGGTACCCACGCCTCCTATGGGCCTCCTTCCTCAAAGCAGGGCACCCATGTGGGCATTGGTGTCCAAGGACACCCTGAAGACTTCTTGATAAACCCCCCAACCAAAATCCCGCTGCCTGGAATACCTGGTGCTGGGCCACCGGCTCCTCCTCCCTCTCTTCCTCCTCCCCCTTCCTCCTCCTGCTCTTTCCTCTCCTCCCTGCTTCTCCTGCAGGGCATGTCTGTCCGGATTTGATCTGCTCAGGCACTGTCAGGGCCTGGCCTCCTTGGAGCTGGCCCAGGGCCGGCTGGCTGCGGCAGTGACTGCCCAGGGCGCCACCACAGCGGCCTGTGTGTGTGTCGTGTCTTTTTCTCCTTGGCTTCAGAAGCTGGCTGCCCGCCGCCACTCAGCCTCCACCATCCTCATTTCCGGGGAAAGCGTGATGCTCGCGCGGGGGGGGGGGGGGGGGGGGGGGGAGGGAGCGGTGGGAGGAGGGGGGCCACCGTGGCTCAAGATCACGCCGGGGGCGGGGCTCCCGCCCTCGCCCAGTGCTCAGGCCCCGGACGCCACCTTTCGGCCTCACAAGCCAGGGCCTTTGTGCCCTTCCCTCTGTCATGCTGTGCTGCCCTTCCCTCCAGCCAACCCTGGATCTCTTCCCTCCCATCCCCTGCATCCAAATAACCTAACGGTCCAGAGCTGGTCCCACCCCTTCCCACCCCTGCTCCTGCTGGGTGATCTCCTTGTATTTATCTGTCCCACGGGGAGGACAAGGCCTGTTCTGTCCCCAGGGCCAGAGAGCGGGGAGCAGGGTTGGAGGGAGTGGCAGGTGGGGAGCCCACAGCTCGGGGTGCCACCACGCTCCCTGGCCTTCTGACCAAGGCGGTCCCATGATGACATCACTGTATTCCAGCTTAGGCCAGAACAGGGCGGCCTCTGATGATCTCCTCTCTCTCCCGTGTCCTCTGCAGACCCTGCCTGTCCCTCCACACTGTCCTGGTGCGGCCTTGACCCCGCTGCTGTCGCCGTGGGAAGCAAAGCTGACAGCGCCCGCACCGGCCGCAGCCACCTCCGGAGGCTCCTCTGAGCTTCAGCCAAGAAAAGCGAAGCGCCTGCGCCCCGTGCGCCCCGGGTCTTGTGGTCTTGCGTGGGGAGGGGTGCTCCCAGGGGGCACGGCTGCCGCCAGGTCCCCGGGCAGAGGCCCAGGCCGGAGCTGGGTGGGGTGGCAGCGTGACAGGCTGGCACAGCCTCTGATTCCAGGGCTGCCCTGTGGGAGGCCGTGCAGCCCCCCCCCCCCCCCACCGCTGTCCTGGGACTCGGGAAAATGCCACTGGACTGGGCACACACTGCAGGAAAGCTGAGGGTGCCTTGTTGCTTTAGTAAGGGGCAGGAACCCCACAGGCTGCCTCGGTGGTAGCCTGACCAGACAACCCCGATCCCAGGCTGGAGGGGGGTGGCTGGCTTGTTGACCTCCCACCATCCCACCAAGTGGCCCCAAGCGTGCCCATCTGGCAGGTGCTGGGGGGGGAAGGCGGGAGGCAGCCTGTCACCTTCCCTCCTTACACCAGAGACCACCCGAGCTGCACAGGACACTGTCCGCTGTCAAGACCTGCCACCTGCCGACACCGGGCCCGCTCCGCCCCTCGGCTACCAAGGGCTCCCCGGAGAACCCATAGCTATTTAGCCACTGTCACCTCCCGAGTCTTGGGGAATCCCTCTCTGGTGTCCCCAGCATCTCAGCAGCGGGGGGCCCAGGCCGCTGTACGAGCTGCCTGGCTGGCTCAGGGTGAGCCCCCAAGTGGGCTCCCGTGTGGATAGAAGTTTGGAGCCATGGTTTCTCCATCCATCCCCGAGGTCCCCACGCCTCAGGCCTGGCACTGGCCTCGTGGGCGTCACTGGGGGCGGGGGCTCTGGGGCTGGCTCACCGAGGAGCCCTGGCGAAGGGCTGAACATGTCCCTCAGGCCCCGCCTGGGCATGCTGGGGGCGGGGGGGGGGCGCCCACTTAGTGGACACGAAGCACAAAGGACCTGCGTGGTGCTTTCTGCAAAGCTATGCCGCTTTGTCAGGTTTCTAACTTAATAAAAACATGTGAAGATTCTCGGCCTTTCTGAGTTTCTGGGACTGGTCTTGGGCAGGGCTGGGTTCCTATCTGGCCTCCTGCCACCCAGGGTGTGATGGACCCTGCCTGTGGGTAGGGGGCGGGGGAGGTGGGGTGGGGGGCCCCCTTCCTGCTCACCAACTGTAAACCCCATAAGCCTTTCACTTATCCAGGTCCTGGAAGTCCAAGGTGGAAATCAATTCCATCCACTTGGGCAGATGAGGCCGCTAGGAGAGCAGCTCTGTCCTCTGCCACCGGTTCAACGTGACGTTAATTGCAAAGCGGGCCAGCAAACGCCAGCCGGCCCAACCGTGCCAGCCCGCCCGGCACAGCAGACCCATGAAGACCTCAGCTTTCCTTTCCTTGCGTGAAACAAGAAGTCAAGCATTCATTTTCCCTAGAAATGTGAATGAACGTCACGACTGAGGAGGAAATGTGTGAAGTTCTTTCTCTGAAGCCCCCTCCAGGGCAGACCTCGCCGATTGAGCTTTTCTCCGCACACACCAGTGTTGCTTGTCTGTAGGCCAATTTAAGATACAAGTCGCGTACACTTTTGGATCTGGTTCAGAGGTCCTTTGTGTGGCAAGCAGTATTTTGAGAAACTGCGTTTTATGGCCGTTGAAGGAGCTGAATCGGACCTGGCGTTTGGAAAGTCCTGGTCATGCCGGCGGCCTTTCACCTGGCTGCAGCCCCAAGTCTCGCTGGGCGCCTCCTTGATTCCCGCTCTGCTGGTTTGCATGTGGGTGGTTGATGTCATAACCCTCCATGTCTGTCCAAGTGGCCTTTCCTTCTTGTGTCAGTGTCTACTAGTCAGCGTGGGCTTTGAGGTCAGAGTGCGCAATGGTCTGATGGAAAAGAGGTCAGAGGGCAGGCTGAGGGTTTCGGAGGGCAGTCTCTGGCTTCGCCTGGCCTTGGAGCTGTGCAGATCCGGACTCCGATCTTCCATCACCGGCTGGCTGCAGGGTAGCTCCGCCTGGAAGGGTCAGAGTGGCCTAAGAGAGCAAGGGGTTCTCTCCTTTCAAACAGACTCGGAAGAGACCTAGAACAAGGAGGGCAGCAGGGCTGTGCTGCACCAGCCTGGCCTTTCAGCAAAGGTGCGGGCCTCAGTCCGTGTCCAGGGGATGGCTCGGTGAAGCCAGCAGTGGGGGAGCCGGGGTGCTACCGCACCGGGTGTGCTGGGTGAGTGCGCCAGGGCCGACTGGAGAGTAAGGTTTGGGGGGTTTGCCTGGGCTGTCTCACCGGGCTTTCTAGAGACAGTGACACATGGCTACCATACAAAAGCAGGAGGCCACATAGGGTCTGGGGCTGGGTTAGAAGACGGGGCAGATGGCAGAGACCAAGGGGGAACAGTTCTATTTTTTTTTTTTTTTTTTGCCAGTCCCGTGGTTTTGAACTCAGGGCCTGGGCACTGTCCTTGAGCTTCTTTTGCTCAAAGCTAGCACTCTACCACTTGAGCCATAGTGCCACTTCTGGCTTTTTCTGTGTACATGGTACTGAGGAATCGAACCCAGGGCCTCATGCATGCGGGGCAAGCACTCTACCACTGAACCAACCACCTTCCCAGCCCCAGCTCTCAAATTGTTGACATAGATGAGAGCTGGGGCCGTCACCCATTCCTCCAAAGCCCCTGTCACTGTGAAGCCTGTCAGGCCCCCGGCCACCCACACGGGTGGCGAGACAATGGAACTCCAAGATGGCACCCAGCCATAAAGTTGTGTTGCCTGTAAGTTATTAGCAATCTGTTTAGTGGTGGTACGGTACTGCCCGCTGGGGCTGGCTTCAAACCAAGATTCTCAGATCTTGGGTCCTAAGCAGCAAGGATAATCATTGTGATTCAGGTAGGAGCCTTACTTTCACCGTGCTGCAGGGTGGCTGGCTCCTGGGAAATGACGTGAGTACTTGGGGTCCCGTCTTCTTCCTGGCAGGCTTCCCTGGCCTCCATCCTGGCTTCCTAATTTCCTCCGGGTGCGCCAGGCTCTGATCTATGCCCAGCCGTCAGCTGCAGTCTCTTGCTGATCAGAACTCTCCTGGCCTCACACAGATGGCACAGGTGGCTGAGGCCCCTCAGCTGGAAATAGGCACTTCTGTACAGGTGGGGTTTGTGTGGTGCCCCACTCAGGGCAGGCGAGGCCCACCCAGCACCCCCCTGAAAGACCACGTAGGATTCCGGGGGCCTGTGTTCAGGGAAGAATGGAAGCTTCTCACCCTCCTTTGCTTCCCAGACAGCAGCCGGTGCTGGCTGAGAACCAAGAGCCAGAGGGAGGCAGTGGGAACATCTCTTGTCTCCTGGGGCTGCCGGTGGGATGGGCCAGGGCCACAGCGGTGGCAGGGTGGGGGAGGAGACGGCTGGAAGTGGGTGAAAAGGGACCAGTGTTCCACTGGCTTGAAAACAGGCAGCGATTGCCAAGGCTACAAAGGCCTCTGTTCAGCAATCCGTGCACTTCCATGTCTGTGGACAAAGGGAAGACCCTTGGCAGCCTGAAGGGGTTTTCATTTGGACTGTGGGGGAGGGGCAGAGCCAGGAATCCAGGTGGCTTTGCTCTCTTCTGTCCACCACTGGAGGGACACAGCGTCCAGGGGAAGGCAAGAGCCTGCCCAGGGCAGCCCCGCAGCCCCAGCGGGGGAAGGGGGAGGGGAAGGCCCCTGGCCGGGGCAGGACCCTCACTTGTTCCTCCCTGAACTGTGCCCACGAGAGAGCTGAGCTCTTTGTCAGTTGGAGAGGCAGGCACCCCTCTTTCCAGGAACTCAGGACAGAAAGAAATGACAGCAAGAATGAAGACTTCAAAAGAAATTTATTTTTGAAAGGGCAGAGGGGGACTTTACAAGAGTCTGAAACCAGTAACTAGAAGATAAATAAAATACAAAGCCAGTATGTTGTGGCAAAATTCCAGAAAACACACTGAAAAAAAGATTTTTTTTTTTACAGTTTTGAAACTGCTTCACTTTATACATAATTACAGTCTAATATACAAAGGTGGGCTTAAACTCAGCTTTCTTCTTGAATAGGATTTAGCACAGAAATGTTCACACAGCATCTGAAACAACCAGGAGGGCAGAGCTCGCCATCCTGCTGCGAGGGCATCCCAAGGGAGGGGTGGCCAGGGCAGGACAGGGCAGGGCAGGACAGGCCAGGCCAGGCCAGGCTGGCCATTGGCCACAGAACCTCTTTCAAGGAGTGCTGTGGGAGCGGCCACCTGTGTGGCGATGGAGGTCTGAGGACAATCCTTTGAAGGGCCCGCAGCGGATGCCTGCGCCTCGGCCAAGGGCAGAGAGTCCGGCCAGCCTGGGTCACCCATCCGGTAGCCTTGGTGAGGTGGGGAAACATCTCACATCCTGTTCAACTTCTGACGAATTAATGGAGACCTTTTCTTCTCCCCACTGCTTCCATGGCAGATTAGGAACCTCTTATTTTAGCACCCGGCCGGCAGGCGGGAGATTCCAAAGCTCTGCTTCCAAGGAATGTTATTTGACAGAGAAAGAAAAACGTAGAAACCAAACTCATCTGTCTGTCCTTGGTGTCTGAGGTGGACGCGCGGTGTGGACGCAGGCTCATGCTTGCTTGGGAAGATGGCATGTGTGTTTATACTCCAAGGCCGTCCTGGCACGTGGGGTCTGGTCACCTCAGAGCTGCTCTGTCATCTGTGATTTTCTACACCTGATAACTGCCCACCCATCCTCAGATACTTCAGCTCCAAGGAAAATACCAGACTTCTTGGCAAGATGGACACAGAGCCACAGGGATAGAAGAATGACACTGGAAGTACTTCTAAGGAGAGCAATTTGTGGCTAAAGCACTGGCCTACTGGCTGTGGTTCTATCTCCATGGTGGGCTGCATTTACTTAAGCCCTGGCCTGTTAACACATCCCCAAGTAGAGGACTGGATCAAACCCAGCCCAGCGCAGGCTTCCTGCTAGCACTGAGGCCTTGCGGTGACTAACAGAGGCAGCTTTCAGTGGTATAACCCTGAGACATGGAAGAGGAAAGAAGGCTGGTGCGTACCTTTTTAAAAACAAGCTTAGTAAGGGTACCTTCCTCTCAGATGGCTCATGGGGGTAGAGGAAACATTGGCAAAGGTAGAATGTGGCAATTTGCATGTTTTCGCCCTGTTTTCTAAGAAAACAGCTAACACGTTTGATTGTCTCCAAAACGGAGCCAATGGCTGTGTGTTTAAAGTGCTCCTACGCCACCAAGCAGGTGACAGGACCGAGACGGTTATCCTTTGAGAGAAGATACTGTTAGCCTCCCTGCTGCCCGGTGGACTCCGCATGTCAAGGGCTCTGGATGGTCTTCTATCTGTCCCTACCAAACTGAAGAACAACCTGATTTCTTCAGCTTGACTGGGTGGGGTGGTTTCTCAGGGGGGAACTCACAACAGAGCTCCAAGTGCTTCTCAAGGTCATGAGCCGAAGCATAAGCAGCTGAGCCCCCCCAAGGCCCCTCTCTGTAAGTGACGTGGGGCAGGAGGCAGGGAGCAGGCCTGGCACAGCAAGCCATCTTGGGGAGCTCAGGATTGCCTTTGTGTGATTCCCATCTATGCAGGCAGAACTGACCGAGCTGCTAGAAGCTGCTGGGATGTGGGGAGCGTGATGGCTCTGCTCCTCCAAATGCCCAAAGCTACCTGCCTCAGAGCTTGCTGTGAGGGGGAGCCGAGGCTGGGCAGAGGGGGGAGCAGCTGCTGGCACCACATCATGGCAAACACAGGGAAGCAGCGACAGGGACAGCCAGCCGAGCCCTGTCTACGCTGGACCTGAGGAAGGGGACAGGCCCAGAGGGCTGGGCTGAAGGCAGCGGCTGACTCCCACCGCGAAAGGCCCAACAGAAATGGGGGTTGGTTTTGGTCTTAAAAGCCTCTTTCTGAAGAGTGTGAAGTTTCTTTTAAAAAGTAGGCAAAGGTACCTCAGAGGTGGCCAATTGCTAAACTGCTGATTGAGGAAGACACCTTCGTAATAAAGGAGGTGTGTGGGGAGGGAACGAAGCCCCGCCTTCTCCCGGACTGTCAGCACAGGCTGATGCCTGCCCGCCATCGCTCTGCATGGGGTGGGCAGCTGGGTGGCTAGACCTGGCTAGCCTTACAAATAACACGAAACATGAGACACATACACAAAATAAATAAAACAGATTTAGGCTAAAAATCTGAAACCAGACTCTTTCAAATAAACTGAAAGATAAATATCTCCATCTGCAAGGCCAGCTTGCAGTTCAACATCAAGCACCAAGTAAAGATTCGCTTTCGCCAAGTCCCAGGCCTCCGATGCCAGGAGCAGACGCCACGCGGGGGGCCAGCGGAGCGGGGAGGACAAGCGTGACCAGAGATGTTGGCAGAGCAGCAGACACAGATGGAACAGAGGAAAGGACAGAGGAGAAACAGACAGCACTGTGACATCTCCCAGAGCGAGCAGAATTAATACTCAACAGAGCTTCGGGTTTAAAATACGGAGGAAACTAAGTCAGACTGTGGCCTTCCTTCTGACACAGAAGGATGACCCTCCCCACTCCCTCTCAGGGCCAGCTCCTGTCTGTGCTGGTGGAAACCCTGAACCTACCTCTCAGCCAACTGTCCTGGTGCAGGGGCTGGTGCTGGGCGGGGGCTCCTCGGGGCAGAGGGGCCCAGGCCCAGGCAGCTGCCTGGGAAGCCGCTTGGAGGCCTCTCCCAGGCTGGTGACACCCAATGGTGACACCACGCCACGGTGGGGAGGACTCTACTTCGTGTGTCTGGAACCACGCGCATGCAGGCAGCAGTCCATTTTTTCTGAACCTGATGTTCTAAGTTAAGCCAGGACACAGACTGAGGGGGACTGATTACACGCTTTCAAACCTTCTCTCACTGGTTTCACAAATGTCTGCCATTGCCTCTGAAATGAATTGAGAAATGGATACAAAAGGGGGAGAAGTGTGCCAAGGGGACCCAATCTTGGAGGACCACAGAGTGAAGGACAGAATGTCCACAAGCCACCAGGCTGAGCCCAAGCTACTCTCATGACTGAGATCGCCAGACCCCATGTGCGTGTACAATCTGCAGTACCTGCTCCCTGACTCCAGTTCTGTCCCCCCAAACAATACAAGGTGGGCAGAGTTTCGGTGGCATTTGGACCCTCTCTTTCACCCTGTGGCGGCTGCTGGCTCGCATCCTAACCTGCGCCTGTACTTCAGGGGCGCTGTTTTCCGGGCGACATCCTGAGCAGGACCAGCCCCGCTGAGCCCTGGTTAGTCACAGGCCATGGCCGGATGGCATCTGTGCCCTTCCACCCTAACCTGCACACGACGCGCCTTGCCGAGGACTGGACGCGGAGCTGTGGACGTCCAGTGTAAGAGACTTGTGCGCAAGGGCGGCAGGCGAAGCAGGTGGCACAGCCGGAGCTCAGGAGCCGGGTCAGCAGAAGATCTCCTCCCCCTCTGCCGACACTTCCGATGCGGGACCATCTGGAACAGTGAGACTGAGATGAAGACATGCGCAAACGCCCTGCCTCTCCTCCCAGGCCAGTGTGGCGGGGCGGGGCAGGGCGGGGCGGCTGGGCCATTGGTAAACAGGTCCCCCATGGTAAGCCTCGGGACTGGCACTAATACAGTCCCACTAATGGGAGAGGCCGGTCTTAACAAGGCACAGGACAGGGGTCAGGGAAACATGGCACATAGTGGGCACTCTTATAAGTGGGCTGGGTGAGAGAGGTGCCAGCTTGGCTTTTGCCTGGCTGAACTGCGTCCTTCTGCCCCATGCCACTCTCTGACCTTCATAAGACAAGCCTGCCCTGGCCGGCGGGGGTGGGTACTCACCACCAGGCTGGGAGCGGCTTCCTTTGCTCTTCTTCTTTTTCTCCTTCTTTTCCTTTGGCTTAGTTAATCCGAAGAGGCGAGTGGTGGCGCTCGAGGGGGCCTGGGCCTGCCCTTCGGGGCCCTTGCTAGGCTGGCCTGGGGAGCTCAGTATGTGAAAAGGCCCCTTGTCTTTGTGTGTCCGAGAGAGGCTGTTCCTTTTGGGGGAGATCGAGAGGTCCGAGTCCAGGGATCCTGATTTGGTGGCCAAGGGGGCAGAGGGCAGGGGGTGCTCCTCGGGATTGGGGAAGAAGGATGGGATGCGCATCAGCTTGCTGTGTGGATGTGGCACCTGCACGTGGTCAGGAGAAGGCTCATTAGGCGGGGGCTGCCCAGGCTGCCGCGACCCATGTGCATGGCAGCATTCGACACGTGTGTGAGGTTGCGTGTCTAGAATGAGCTGTGGTTTCCCTTACTGTCCTCTCTCACGCAGGACCCAGGAACACATGAACACACTACCTCTGTGCCACGGATACGTCATGACGGGCACTAAGGGACCAGCGGGGCTCTGAGGAGAGAGCCTAGGAAAGAACGAGGGCAGCTCGCCGTGGCTGGGCTGGAGGTCAGGAAGGTCAATCCCCTCTCAGTGGGGACCCTCTGGGGACCCACTCATGTGGGAGTGGCTCTGTCCTTGTCATCAGGAGCACCAGCCTTTCTCTGCTCCTGCATCTCCCCCAAATCCTCCACAGAGAGTGAGCACAGCCGCCCCACATGCTGCACATGGCAGAAGGACAACAGTTTTAAAGGACGGGGAGATTTGGGCACAGTGAGGCCCTCCATCTGCTCCAAGTGCCCAGCGTGCGCGCTTAACAACTGGAAGACCCCACAGGAGAGCAGAACATGTACAGAAAGGATTCGTCACCAGCAGCAAAGCAAGTCGGGCGTTATGCAGGGTCCTCCCCAAACAAGAATGCTATCTGTGCGTGGGGGAATGGGTGGGCTCTTGGCTCTGTGAATGACCCCTGCTGTCATGCTGAGGACTCCTTTATCCTTGGTGGACACCCACCACGCTACGGCTCCCTGGAGGGCGGGCACTTGTCTGTAGTTTCCCATGTGGCACAGGACAGAGTGGTAACCCTGGAAATCCTGGGTGGCTGCTGCCACCTGCTGCGACAGCCCACTGCTCTGTCTCCTTGGTCCACTGGCACCAAGGGTCCACTGTCTGCTTTGGCCTCCCAGAGATGCAACAGGCACCCAGAGACCTGACTCCTCCCCGCTGCGTGCACAAGCTCACCCTCCAGTGGGCCTGGTGCGGGGCCCCACCATACCTGACAAAGGTCCCGCTCCAGCTGTCTCTGGCTGAGCAGCTCTGCCTCCCGCCTCCGCAGCTGCTCCTGCTCCCGCTCCAGCTGCCTCTGTGCAGCGCGCAGCCTCTCCAGGTCGCTCTGGTAGGTGCCCTTCTTGTGCCGGAGCTCCTCCCGGTCCCTCTCCAGGTCCTGCTGTCCCAGCTGCACCTTCTCCTCGCGCTCAGCCAGCTGCGCCTCGCGCTCCCGCAGCTCCCGCTCCCGGGCCTCCCACTCCCGCTCCCGCCTGCGCTTCTCCTCCAGGTGCTGTGCCTGCTGCCGCTGCAGGTTGGCCAGGTCCTGGCGCTGCTTCTCCAGGCTGCGCTGCTTCTCCTGCTCAATGAGCGAGCTGGGCCGTGACAAGCTCCTGGTGAGCGCTCCGCTCGCTCAGCACCAGCCTCTGGTCCTCGATGTAGCTGTCCTGCTGGAGCACCACACCCTGGGGGCACACAGGACAGCCATGTAGACCTGGACACTGCCCAGGACACTGCTGGCCAGGGGGACCCTCCTGACCCGGGCTAGGGGCCCTGTGACAGAGAGACCCTCCCGCCATGTTCTAGAAGTCTGCTCTGGTAACAGAATGCTGCCAGGTTAACCATGCAGTTAGCACACGAGAATCCCATTTCCTGTCAAGACTGGTGACACACTTCCTGCAATGACTATGGCACCTGGGTGGTGGGAGGAGGTAGCGACAAGGCAAGGCAGCTGAGGGTCCAAGAACGGGGGGGGGGGGGGGGGGGGGGGGGGGGGGAACTAGCACACCCAGGGAACAGTGGGGTAATGAGGAGAGCCTTTCTAGAATGAGGTGGTCTCCCACAGGCGTGAGCCCAGATGTTATCTGCGGGTTCCTTCAGTAGTCATGGTGGTAGATGGGGTGCTTGCTACTCTCACCTGACAGCCCCACCACCCATGTACCCTTAGGCAACCTGCACACCTTAGAGATCGAAATACCTGTCAACAACCATCCCTCTACTACTGCTCTCCCAAACCAGGTGCACAGAGAAGTCCCGTACCTGCAGAGTGCTCAGGAGCTCATGGAGATGGACGATGCTTTGGACAACCTGCTACAAAAGGAGCAGAAGAGAACAGAACAGAACAGCCTGTTAGGGCTGCACAGGCATCACGACCCACCACCCTACATCCAGAATACAGCAAGGAGCTGCTACTGTGATGCAACCCAAAGAGAAGTGAGCGAGTATGAGTGGCCAATGCAACCACTTCTTATTGATCTCTCCCTTTGCCATCTTTTCAAATTCTCTTATCCCTAAAAGGGAAGCTGCCAATTTGTGGACCCTACTTGTGAATGCATGAAGCCCTCAAAAACAATGGCAACCGTGCCCACCGTGCACTTTTTCTCACCCTGACTTTTTCACTGAGCAGGGGGAAGAAAGTGACATGTGGAAAAAGCAGCCGGCAGCTAACTTGCAAGGGGCACATCCAGAGAGAAGCTGCAGGCCTGGTTTAGAAAGAGAGCACACAGGCAGAGTCCTGCAGGGCACAGCTGCATTTAGGCTCCTGTGCCGACAAATACAGGACATGCTCCTTCTCAGCATTTTGGGGGTGGCAGGAAGAGTTCCCCTTAGTTTAGAAGTTCCACAGGAGATAGACAGTATGCTAAATGCAACAATGCTCTGGAAGGTATAGCAGTCAGGCTGGTACCAGGGTGTGATCTCTGACTTGAAGGATGCCAACACCCTGCTTTCTTTCATAGCTTAGACAATACCGCATGAAAGACAGTACTCCAAGAAGTAAACTCAGCTTGTGTCCTTGAAGGATAGGAACTCTGCAGAATTAAACTACAAGTTAAATCTCCACCCTGGACTTGTGGCTTTGGGGGTCAGGTGTACGTTATAGGAAAAGTTGCTTCAAATTCCACTTACATGTGTTTAGACAGAAAGAAACTACCACGGGGGCTTCGGAGCCCTTGTGTTGACAAAACTATGTTGACAAAACTGACTAAATTATGGACAGAGAACCAGAGGCCTATAGCATAGAGAATATTCTAGTTGGCAAATCCAAAAGTTAGTGCCTCCAGATTCCAAAAGAAACAGAAAAAGCCATGAACACAGATGACATGATCAGCTGATACAGAAACTCTAGGCAGGCGTTGTAAACATCAAACAAAGCTGAACATTGCTGTTCTTTTCTTTCTTTTTTTTTTTTGCGGGGGGGGGGGGGTGAGGGGGGGGTCAGTCATGGGGCTTGAACTCTGGGCCTGGGCACTGTCCGTGAGCTCTTCAGATCAAGGCTAGCACTCTACCACTTGAGCCACAGGGACACTTCTGGCTTTTTCTGCGTATGTGGTGCTAAGGAATCGAACCCAGGGCCTCATGCATGCAAGGCAAGCACTCTACCACTGAGCCACCTTCCCAGCCCCTGCATTGCTATTCTTTTATACAGTCCTTTCTTAAAGACAATCTAAAGGCCTCACTTACCTCACTGTTTCTCTTAAGCATAAATACAAGGTTAGCATTTCCGCCCTATGAACATAAAAATACAAATTATTAAATGAAGATCTTGATGCAAAAATTATCCTCAGTGCACTTCTAAGTTAAGTTGTAGTTTGCCATTTTATTTCCACAGTAGCCTCTGAGGGTATGAGGTGGAACTGCTTGGCATTGGAGCCTTATAGAAAGGCTATTGAAAGGATGGGGCTCCTAAAATTAGCCTCTTCGTGCAAATGGTCCCGGTAGGGCCATGGTGAGCTTACGAATTTAAATGTGGTACTCAAGGAGCCAGAGAGCCAAGAATAAGGAGCCCTCAGCTGTGTGGCTTGGTAATGTGCTTTTCCCCTGACAGTAAGGCAGAGTCTCATTTACAGTGGCAAGTCCAACATGCAACTCCAGATCGACACGGGATAAGTTAAAGGTTGTAAATTTGGTGGGAAGAACTGAAAAGGTTCGCAGGTAAGTGCACTTTAGAAGGATTACCTTTTTCAGACCACTATCCGACTCTGCTCTCCTCAGATCTTGGCCATCATCATCTTCCTTCTCACCTCCTAAATAAAGTTTTCTATTTTTATTAAAGTTGTAAAATAAACTAGCCAAGAGAAGAGTACAATGGAGACAAGTTATAGACACCAAAGGAAAACGCCATTCTGTGGCAGCCAAACCACTTCTGCTTTCAGTGCTGAAGAACTGAAGGACAAACAAGTAGAGCAAGCAGCCTTACAGCACACTGGGCCCACAGGCGTTTGGAGGTTCTTTGGGAACAGGACCATAAACAAACATGAAATCCACCTTCCACACACACATTTATACACAGTTCTTTCAGTGTGCTTTTGTTCTGACTGAAACATGTTACAAGTTAGGTGGAATTTTCCACTTGTAGAGTGATGTCAGTACTCAAGAAGTTTTGGATTTTGGAGGATTTCAAATTCAGGATGCTTCACCTAAATAATCGGCCTTAGGGTACATATACAGCTTAACTGAGATCAGGAAAACCATTGTTACTCAAGATGAATGTCACTCAGCCAAGTGCTTACTGACTGAACAGGGGACGAGAACAATGGCCGCAACTGATCAAGGGACGAGAACACCGGCCACACTTAGTTTTAGTTTCACGGGGTCACTGAGATGGACTACTGACCTTTGGAAGCGTTCATCTGGTGGCTGTCAAATCCTCCAAAGGTCTCTGCTCTCCGGGGCAAGGAAATGGGGCCAACCGTAGCTTCCTGCTCAGCAGGGCTGCTGGCAGCCTGCCCGAGTGTGCCTCCTAGACTTCCACTCACCAAACCCTGAAGGATCTCCACTGCAAAGGAAAGAAGACAAGCAAAGCTGACATCTTCTCTTTTCCAGTGAGAAGGGGGGAAATGCCATGGTAATACATGACAGGTACAGGAACAGGCCAGAAAGTTCCGAGGAGTGATTAGGTGATGTCCTGCCCAGAGGGTCTCAGCTCATGGTGCATGTTTCAGTTGGATTCTACTGGTAATCCAAGAGAAACCTTCAACGTTAGAAGGTGAAGCCTGGAGATGTGAAAGAATGCAGGAAAGGCAGAGTGGTTTACTGGAAAGAGCGTGGCTTCTAGAGGGAGAGCCAAAGCAGCCATGAGATGTCCCCAGGAAGGAAGGTGGGTCGACTGGAGGACAGACAGTGGATTCAAGGGGCTAGAGCAAAGCTTATAGAGGAAGAAATACTGAAGGTAGAAAACCACTGAGCAGGGGAGGAAAAACAGGCAAACGCAGGTGCATACAGCATAGAAATGGGATCAGAGGCAGGAACACTCTCAGCAAGCCAACGTATAACCCCAAGCACCACACAAAGTAAGTGGTTCTACGGAGGGAGAAAAGCATCTGAACCTACAAACTAAAGAAATTAATTTCATACAAAAATGAGCAACAGGAAAGTTCTGGAGTCAAACCCCATATAACATTAAGAGAAGAGAACAGGGGTATACCTTGCTGCAAATAATAAAAACATATCAGAAGGACATGTTCATAAAATAAATGAGCTAATGAATGCATTAACAAAATGACACAGGGCATGAAGGAATTTAAGTCACAACTGGAAGCACAAAACCAGGTATGGTGACACATGATGTATCCCAGTTATCAGAAGTGAGTTCTAGCAAGCTTGGGCTGCCTCAAATTTTAATGAACCAATGAATTAAAGAAATGAGTATTGCAGCAGACCACCATGAACCTGGGAACAACCTACTGCAACCAAAAGCAGGGAATATTTTAATAAGACTACTTTGATAAAACAGTATGAAATACTTTAATTTAAAACTACTCGAAAGCCCTTTGGGCATCTAGGCAAGGAGAATGCATCTGTAGGAAAAACAAATGACCACCAGCCTCTGAAAGCAATGCTTCATGCCTCTATAAAACCAAAAGTAACCTGTGCGAATTAAAACATACGTAGGGGAAGAAAATGCAAGCCAAGGAAAGTTCAAGTACAGGGTGAAAAGCTGCTGCCAATATGCCAGAGTTTAGGGACTATGATACTCAGAATATCCCGAGGTATCTGCAAGGAATCATCTCTGAATCCAGATGTGAATCTGAAGGAAAGAGAGGACTGAACTGCTGTATGAATAAAACAATAGCAGTTCTGTCCTCTGGAGTTTTGAGCTGACTCAAAAACTGCTTGGAAAAAAGGGGAGCAATGGTATATAAGCAAGTGAATACAGCCGGGCACTGGTAGCTCACACCTATAATCCTAGCTACTCAGGAGACTTAGATCTGAGGATTGCAGTTCAAAGCCAGTCTAGGCAGAAAAGTCCAGAAGTGGCGCTTTGGCTCAAGTGGTAGAGAGTTTGACTTGAGCTGAAGAGCTGAGGGACAGTGCCCAGGCCCAGAGTTTAAGCCCCATGACCACCACCACCACCAACAACAAAAATTGATTACAATCCGGGAAGCTGCTTTCTTTTGGAGGGAAGTACATGGAGGGGTTTGATTCAGGGAGTTTGGCTACATTTTGAATTTCTGACCTGGGTAGTGGTTACAGTTTATCCGTGAAGTAACTGTTTGGGATATTTCCCAATATTGGTGCTTTATATTACAATAGCGAAGTGGAAATGTGTGAATAACATTGGCATATCGGCGTGTAAATCACTCTGGGATGAAGGGGGGAATACTGAGTGAGAACCACTCTTACCCTCGCTTATTGCACTTTTCATCAAAGGTCCTCCTTTGGGGGCCTCCTCGGTGTTGGCTCGGAAGAGGGCTCTAGGGCTGTGAGTTGGGGAACAAGCCTCTGGCAAGGGAGTACTGCACTCGCTCATGTCCCGAAATATCATTTCCTTCTCTTCCAGCAGGAGGAGGATCTGCTGGTCCTTCTGCTGAAGTTGCTCTGCGGGTGTAAGGAGAAAGGGATCTGATTTATCTTGTTTAGGTTTACTAGATGAGCGGCACGTGAGCACCACCTTGTGGTCGTTTTTGAGGTGACTTAGGGCAGAAAGCATGTACGCAGGAGGGCACACACACACTTCTCATCAGGAAGGCAATATGATTTCTACCCAGAAAACCTCTAGGGTCTCTTACAAACACTGTTTCTTCTGACACAGATCTGCCCCTGGTTTTGCCTACCTTCCTTGGCTCCAGCTGAAGCTGCAGTTTCTGCAATTTCCCATCTTTCCCAGAACTGAAAATCACTCTTTAAAACAACTCCAGTCCCCCACTACGATGACATCAGTCTCTTTCGGCCACTCTCTTGGGGCACTTGAAGTACACGTTGCTCTCGGTGATCTCACTTGAATACCTCCTCTATACCAATCATTGCAACTCAAATCTACTTTCTTTGCTGAACACCAGAACAGTGTGTTCCACTATCAAATGGCCAGTTCTACCAGATGCCTCATTCTTGGGATAAGAAAAGTTTCTTTCCCAGTGTTGTCAATCCACCTCCTCCAGTAGACTTACATCTTCTCCCATCAGCCCTTTCCATTCTCCAGGCTATCCAACTCGGGAGAGACCTTGCCTCCTTCTTTTGTCCTACCATCTACCCCTACTTGCCAGATTTTAATAACCCCATTTCGTACTCCCATCTGTCCTCTCTGTAGCTCACCTCTCGCTGAACCTAAGATTTTCACAATTCGTCTGCTTCTATTTAGATGTGCAATTCTCTCAACAAGCTTCAACAAATATAAATTTGTAAACCATTCTATCATCTCCTCACTCCGTGACACAGAACCTCCCAGCGTAAGCTCCCATCACTGGTCCTGACCCTGATGTACCAACTTCTTCATGCAGATATTCTTAGATGGTGTGCTAACTGTCAGATGGAGCTCATCAATCTGCTCTTCTGAGACACGTACACTTCCACAGCCCACCGATCCACTAGAACACTATGTGTTCTACTCTCGTTTAGGTATCCTTTGCATGAGAGTGAGCTTCCTTAGGACAAGGGCTGTCTTTTAGGAATCTGCATCCCTGCCCTGAGCAGTACACCTAAACCAGGTGCTTAACAAATGCTGCCAGAAGGAAGGCTTCATCCTTGTCAACGAGGACACAACTCTGGCTCTGGTCTAAACCTGGCCATCTTTATTTTTCCTCCAATGAAATAGAACACTGTCACCCTGTACAACTGGAGGAACTAATGAACTCAAAGCTGCATACACATACTAGACTCAGGGCCTCATTTCTACAGTGGAAGGTTCCATATGCCACTGGCAAAAGGGGAAAAGTATACCAGACCCCATTATTTTTAAAACAGGGATTAGAACCAGATGTGGTGGCACACATCTGTAATCCCAGCACCTGGGAGGCTGGAGCTGGAAGATGCAGAGTTTGACGTCATCCTGAGCTACAAATTAGAGATATGGAATGGAATGTGGTTCGGTCCCTAACTACACATTTGGCCCTGGGATGTTTTTGCCCTCAGAGAGTCAACTGTCTCCTCTGCACAATGGATGAAAGAGTTCTTATAGGGATGTTAGCAAGACTTTACACAACAGCAGGTACTCAGTATATGGTGGCCAGACATGATCAATAAGTACCTTTTGGGGCTGGAAAGATGGCTTAGTGGTAGAGTGTTTGCCTTGCATGCATGAGGCCCTGGGTTTGATTCCTCAGCATCACATAAGCAGAAAAAAGATGGAAGTGGTGCTATGGCTCAAGTGGTAGAGCACTAGCCTTGGGCTGAAGAGCTGAGGGACAGTGCCCAGGCCCTGCAGCTGACAAAAAAAAGTGCCTTTCTACTGAGACCACCTCACAAGCCATCTGTGAACCTATGAAAGCCAGTGACTACTAATGGGAGGACTGGAACAGATTGGCTAGAGACATGTTTTCACAAATTCCTTTCTTTCTCTGCCTTAACCCTAGCTGTGACTATGAAATCTGGCAAATTCTCTGTGACGAGGTATGAAGAAGGTACCTCTACACTCCTAGAAGTCCAATGACAAGACCAGACAATCAACAGTCCCACTGGATCTGGTACTTGATTCTTCCTGCTATGTTCTGCCAGGACTAATCTCCCTGTTGCCAAGGCTGGCAGAGACAGCTCTGGAGGGAAGAGCAACCTAGGCCTCTGGAAAACATAAGCATCTTGTGTAACCATGGATATTTCACAGACAAGGACCCCAGGCTACCTCTGACAGTTGCTTACCTTTTAACTCCCGGGCTTTGGTGTCTAACATTTTCTTTTCTTCCTCATTCTCACTAGGAATTCCTTCATCTTCATCTCTATTCCTAACACAACCGAAACAAAACAAGACAAAGATTCCTAAGAAGTCAATGACTCTAGTCACTGCCCAGTCTGTTATGAAATTGTATAGTTACTAACAGGGCAGGGAGGGGTGGGCTGTGGCAGTTCACGTACAGGGTGTTGATTGTATCCTGGATGATCTGAATCCAGCTGTTCCGCTCCTCTTTGGAGCTGGCGTGGACCTCCACCATCTCTGGATCTTTCACCCCCATACTAATTAGGAACAGACCTTTCTCCTCATGTGCCACTTCTCTGACTATCAGCTTCTTTAAAGAGATCACCGTTGATTTCTGGTCCTGCATAAAGGGGAGAGGAAAGACTTAGGCTGTGTAAACAACTGGGTAGCTCTTGAGGACTACACTGACCTTAGCTAAGACCACATGCCGGTTTAAATGTTTACTACCATTTTTTAAAAAATGGCAGGTTTAGGTAAGTAAAGAGAAATATCTCAATACTGCACTCAAATTTTAACAGAAAGATTTCCAGAATGAGATGACAATTTATGGCCATAGTTCTCTAGTCACATCTTGTACATGATGAATCTGAACAGGTTCCCCAAAGAAACACTGGTTAGCAACATCTTCTATGGGCAACAGTCATGTGAGTAAATACAGAGGTTAACCATCAATAATGCTCAGGGCAGTCTGAGGAACTTTGAGAGGACAGAAACAGAATTCTGCCAGCCAGTGGGAAAGATAATGGAAACTCCCCAGGGTATGTGAGAAATTACTCAAGAGGAGTTTTTCCTGGGTCAATTAATTTTCAGAGGGTAGGTGAGGCCATCATAGAGTGTTTACATTCCATACACTCAACCTAGCTGTTTGGGATACTGTTAAATCCAAACGGAAGACAATCCAGCTTACCAATGATGCGAAGATGTATTTCTGGTCCTTTTCTTGAAGGAAAACCAAAATGTCAGAGAGCAGAACCGCTTGCACCTCTGGAAAGTGGAAACAGGGAATAAGATGAGCCCAGTGACTAGTGAATAGCTAATCAAGTGCAGAAGGCTTTCAATGAAGGAGGTGCAGCAGCATACCTCCAACGGCCAACTCTACTCTGAGAACACCCCTTCCTCTCCGCCTAAGCAACACCGTTTTACAATTTTGCTCCAGGGATGCTCCACCCCACCCGCCCCTCTCCAGGGATGCTCCACTCCACCTGCCCCTCTCCAGGGACGCTCCACCCAACCTGCCCCTCTCCAAGCATGCTCCTCCCACCCGCCCCTCTCCAAGTGTGCTCCACAGGGCACTGGCCGTCCTTGGCATACATTCACTTGAGGACGAACATGACTAAACAGCAGCTCCTAGTTCTTTTGTAGCCATTTCAAGCCAAAGAACCTATTATTCTGCCATTTGCTTGACTGCAACTTGGTTCTACCAGCTGGGATCTGTTCATTTTGTTTGAAGAACATATAAATTGCAATGGCAAAGGAAAGAAAAGAGTGCTGGCTCCAGGCAGCAGCCCTAGGAAATCAGGTCCTAGAAAAAGTAGAGGATTCTGATGCCATAGAAGATGGGCTGCAGGAGGCAGCGTGAACAGAATTCTGAGCTAGGGCTCTCAGAACATCACTGAAATCAAGGCTGAGATTCAGGCAGGTGCCTTACTTTAAGCTCATCATAGAGTAATGGAAGTTCATAGCCACTGGTGGCAGCAAGAGGTCTTCTGAAATTATTCTGCCCTTTTCCTTAATACCTATTCTTCCTTACCACAGGAATGCCAGCACCTTCCTCCACCACCATTCATCACGCCTTCTGCTCCAGCACTACCCCTGGCACAGAATACTTGGGCTAAGGCTTCCTGAGTGCTACAATGGTCAGCTACAGCATCACAACGCCGAGATGAGAAGAGCATGCGTTCCCCCCATTTCTCTAGGAAGTGGAGCTGACAGCAGGGCCTGGCCTGCTCTAGACCCTCAGCTCCACAGCCAAGGGGAAAGGACTGATATAGGCAAGGTTGATCAGAGGTCATAGCTCACGTATAGATTCAGCCAGTATGGGTTTGATGAAAACAACTGTTTTGAAAACTTTTTTAGAAATCAAAAGTACAGATACATAAAAAATAAACCTTCCAACCTCTTTGATTTAGTGTGGCTGACCATGTGGAAAATGAAAATTATTAACCAAAGGGAGAGTGAGTCATAGTTATGACCTCTCTGGCTTTGGGGAAAGATAAAGGAAGCAAATACGAAGTGTAACAAGGTCTAGTTGAAGCAGGTTGGTGACCTTTCTTAAAGGCCTCAGGAACCACGAAGCCCACACCTAGCCCCTCCTCTGGAGGGCTCACCACACCTTGTCTATTTCCCATTTTCCCCACTGCTTCATTTGTTTACCTCGTGGCGCTTTCTATGATTCTGTAAGCTATCTCAAACCGTCCTTTCTGATCTAAGATTACCAATAACTAAATGTAGCTCCTGTGTGATGTCTGCACATGGCTCTCAGGGAAGAAGAAACTTGTGGTGATCTTCCAACAAATACTCGTGGGCGGGGCCTACTCTTCCCAGGGACATTGACGCAGACAGAAGTGAGCCAGCTTACCTTTCAGCCTTCCTGTTACACTCTTCAGAAACACACTCCCGTCACGTACCAGCTTCTTCCTTTTCAAGTCCTCCTTCGCAAACATCTGCCCACTCTTCATCCTCATGATCGACTTGCTGTCTGTCTTCGTGTAAATCTCACTGAGACGTACCTTCTTCTCATAACTTGCTACTTTGCTGTCTACAGCTCCAATCACATCCTTCACCAGGCTCAAGGACTGAGCTAGATCTTCACGTTCCATTTCATTGTCTTCAGGAAGAAAGAACAGTGCTGCTTTTAATGGCTGTTCTCTTCCAACAAGAGAAGGGGAGGGAATCATGCCTCCCTGTCCACAGGAACCATTTTCTCTTTGTGGTCATGCTGTCAGAGTGAAGCCAACACACTAGCTCATGTCTCCTCTTTTTCTTCTGTCCTAAGTTTTAATCTTAAAGGCAGTTAACAGTTTTCAATGCTATGAATCAGATATAATTGGTTGCTCCATTCTTAAATGAAAGAAGCCAAATGTCTTTAGGACAAAAGAATAAAAGTAGAACAAAGAGCAACACGTTATTTGCACACAAGGAGATTGTGTTCAGCTGGACAGGTAGCTCAGACTTATAATCCCGGCACTCAGTGGGCTAACATGGACCATCATATGTTTGAGGCCAGCTGAGCTATATAGTGAAACTCTGTTCAAAAAAGTAAGAAACCACCAAACAATAAAAACAGAAGGAAGGAAAAAAAGTCTTCAATCTGAATACACTATCTCTTCTAGACTTACTAGAGGATGAAACAGCTCACGCTGGCAAACAAGATGTGCTTAGAAGGGGACCTACCTTTGGTGCACTGTAATATTCTTTGGAATAAAACTGGGTATTTGGTGATTCTCTGGGTTACAAGTAAGATGCACTCTGGGATTCCAAGTCTCCTCACCAACGAACTGCCCATCTTCTTCTGCAAGGGAGAAGACACCGTTAGGAACAGCATGAGAGAGTAAGCCCTGGCTAATGCCCAAGCAATGGGGTCACATGTCATCCATCAGTACCTTTACAAAAGCCTGGAAGCGCTTATCCTTTGTGCAGAGGTCTTTGAAATAGTTCACAGACTGGTTGTGCTGGCCACAAAACTTGCCATATACCTTCTTTAAGCGTTCCGCATTCTCACCCGAAAACTGCAGAGGACAGAGGACAGTGATTCTGTGTAATTTAGGGTGCCCTTCTGTAAAAAGCTGCCAGTGTATTCGTCATCCCTCTCCAATCAACTGGTATAGTGACTCTGGAAATCAGTTTGGAATTTCATCAAATGGCTTAAAATAAGGTTCCCATAAAGACCCAGCAATCCCACTCCAAGATGTATACCCAAGAGAAATAAAAACATACATCCACACTAAGACTTAAATAACAAATATTCATGGCAGCGTTATTTATTCATAATAGCCCGCAAGTAAGAAAAACAGAAATGTTCACTAATGGAACAATGAAATACTGTATGGGTTTGAAAAAGGAATGAAATACCGTTAACATGCTATAATTTGTTTTTGAGGTACTAAGGATTGGACACAGGACCTCACACATACCAGCCACATGTCCTACCAGTCGGGCCATGCTCCACAATTTTTAAGAATCATGTAAAAAGGCCATTCACATTTCCTATTCCATGGATGCAAAATGTCAGGAAAAAGAAAATCCAGAGATCAAGAACAGTAATGGATGCCTAGACCTGGCACCGACTACTGCCAAGTGGGGGTTTCCTTCTGGAGGGATACATATGTTCAAATTCACTGTGATGATGTCTGCACAACTGGGAATATACTAAAAACCATTTAGCTGTATACTTTTTTTCTGATACTGGAGACTGAACTTGAGGGCCTTGTACTTGCTCATGGCTGGTGCTCTACCACTTAAGCTGTGCCTTCAGGCAGGCTTTATGCTGATTAATTGGGGGTGGATTCTTACAGACTTTTCTGCCCAGGTTGTCTTTAACTGTGATCCTCCAGATCCCAGCCACTGGGACCCAGCTTAATTGTACATGTTAAAAGGGTGGATTATATAGGATATGCCTTTTATCTCAATAAAGCTATTATTTATCTTTAAAAACAAAGTCAGATATACCTGTGTATTGTGTGCATAAGAAATGCAAATGTGCTTTTACTTTCACTTGTCATGAGTGCAGTAATAAATAAACAAAACTAAGTTGTTTTTTTTTTATGAGGCACTCTTACAAATGTGATCTCAGTAAGTTAGATAGGGTTTGGGTATAGCTTAGTGGTTAGCACTTGCCTAACACATGAGGCCTTAGGAGCAACATGCTCAGAGTGCACCATGGGTAAATAATGAGGTTCTTCCAAAAGGTCCTGAGTGTGAGCCATGGTACCACATGTTCACAATCAAGTTAGAGGAGCATCAGAAACATCTATTTTTCCTTAGGTTCAGGCAAGCAGTTCTAGTAATTCTACATGGTCCTTCAATTCCCAAAATCCATGCAATCTCAGCTGTCTATATAAACATATGTTTATCTTGGGATAAATCAAGCACCTTCTGCATGGAGTCTATCTGATGCATGCTAAACTCTGAGTTCCATGACCTAAACACCTCTGGAGGCAACCAAATTTCCTTGTCAAAAATGCAAGAGGATGCTGGGCAGTCCCCAATGGGGAACCGGAAGCAGAGAGATCCTTCAGTTACTTGCTTTTACTATAAATCAAAAACCCCAAAAAGGTTGACACTGGCACCGGCACACAGAACAACAAATGCACACTAGGGGACTGGTGTTTGAATCTCAGCATCAAAGATCTTACTGAAAGGGAATGTACAAACACAAGGAGATACAAATGATAAACAGGCAGCGGTTAGATGAGGTACCTGTGCAGGTCCTGAGCGCAGAGAGGAGGCAGAAAAAGAGAAGCGGAAAGTGTTTGGAAGAGAGATGACCAGGGAGCAAAGGCTCTCATTTATGGGGTTCCACTTTTAGGCTCTGACTGTTGCACATTCCTTGGTCTGCATTTCCTAACATGCCTGGTTTTACTCCTAGAGGCCCCCTCCGGAGATGAAGTCATAATCACCAGAGACTGCACCTGGCGTTAGTGGGTGCTCAATGTTACCTGAATAAAAACTGAATCAATGAAGTGAGGGGAATGGGTTCAAGGATACAAGGAAATTCTCAGACTAATGTTCTGGCAAGGAAGCCTCTGCATCTGCACAGAGACTGTGGTTTGCTAGAGGAAAAAGATCTGGCCACATGGGTTGCACAGCACCCTTCTGTCAAAGGTATGCTTCAGACGCTTTTTCAAGAGCAGTATTTTTTTTAAGAAATATTTATCAATAGCTGCTTATGACTGACACATTTTAAAAAGCATCAAGATAAATTTTAGCTAAATGTTTTGAGACTGAAATATCACCACTTCATTCAAAATCAGTGGTAATACATATTTTAGGAAGTATTTTACGGATTGTGTCTTGATACAATTTCTAGGCTTCAGCTGGTTTGAAGTTGAATGACATCCTTCTAATCTGAGCCATAGGGGAAGCTTAAGACTTCCAACACGTATTCTTCATCTCTTAAATTATATTGTTAAAACAGTATTGTTTTCTGACGATGGCATGGACTTTGAGAAAGAAAAAAAAAAGAACCTTTAATTATGTATCAACCTCTTCCTGCATTTCTAAAATTGCATAAACAAGAGAAATCCTACTGTCTTTTTGTAATTAGGGGGAGGTATGCAGGTCCTGGGGCTTGAACTCAGGACCTGGGAACTACCTCTGTTTTGTGCTCAGGACTAGTGCTCTATTACATGGGCCACAGAGCTCCGCCTCATTTTTTTTTAGAAAGGAAATTGAAGCTCTGAGAACTTAGCTTCCCTAAGCCTACCATAATAAACAGTAGAGTCGAGATGTGAATGGTAAGGTACATGAACTTGTAACCCATTTGCTCACCTGATTTATAAGCACATCCCCTATCCTCTTGATAAGAAAGTTCTTTTCACTTTTATCCACCAGAGATTCCTTCTTCCGCTCCAGGATCCTCTGAAGGAACTGGCTATGGATACTGATGAGCTCGTCCAAACAGGGGAACAGCTTGTCCACCATCTGCTGCTCAAAAAGCAGCTCTGTCATCATCCCCCGGCTGTACACGTCACTCATGATCTTGAGCGTGCGGATGTGATGGAACTCAGTCTGCATCAGTTCTAGGAGAACAGGGACCAAGGGGCCGTCAAAGGTCATTTGCTGCAGTCACATTTGAGCCCGACCTAAATTTTTAAACTGAGTCAACAATTGTTTTTCCCTTAATGTGTTCTCATCTAACGCTGTACATATGACTTAACATATTCTGATGATAGGCATACTGGATTCTAAATAAATAGTATTGGTTAGCTTCAGCAACTCTCAGAACTGACCTATGTCCCTTCTCTTTCCTGTTGCACCTGAGGAACTACCTATGTTTTCAGAACAGACCTCTCTGGTCCCCAGGGGCGCTATACAACAGCATGTAAACAAGCTGATTAAAAGAACAAAAAGTATCTAGAATGAGGAAGATGGATGAAGATGGATGTACCAGTAAGCCCCTATCATATACCCCAGTTTTCAAACAAAATCTTTAAGATGCACAATTCTCAAAAATTGACTTTCCTACAATAGTTCAGCAAATCAGTTTAAAAACAACATATCATGCAAATAAGAAAAAAAATCAAATAAATTAAGAATCTCACCGTAAATTACTTCTTGTTGTTTGACGATGTCTTTCTTCTGTTGTTTCAGAAACTTGCTGTCCACAATCTGACTCCAGGACTCGGCTTCTAGCTGCTTGGAATCAGTCTCGAAGTCTCCCATTAGCTGTCCTTCATTCATGTCTGTGCCTACTCCTCAAGATATACAAAATTTATCTCAGAATCTTGGGCTTATGACCTCTAAAAAGGTGGACTTCCCTTGAGATAACAGATGCCTTCATAAGATAAATACTCTCTACATTAATTCAGGGGACATCCACAGAAAGTGTATCCTGGTATGAGAAAAGAATCAATGTCCTGATTGGGAGTGACAGGCTCTATTCAAAACTGGCTAAGAATATAGACATCCTGTATATAAGTTCAACATGACTGAGACACAATTCCTATGTAAAGCTGGACAGACGCATTCTGCCTCTAAGAGAACAGGCTTACAATGTGTACACAAATACATCTGTATGAAAGAGTATGCCCACATTAAAAGTAATAGCATCCTTCCACAGACCCAGCGATGGGGTTACCAATTCACTGTAATGCATTTGATGCTTCCCAGACAAAGCAGGGATTCTCCAGTTAGGGCACAGGAACAGCAGACGCTATTACTAACTGTAGTTGAAAGAATGGTGCACCATCGCTACAAAGGCATATGATATAGGCCAACACGTCCTCTTACCTTCGTCAGTGAGTGACTCTGTGGACTCGTTCACCTTGCAGATTTTATTCAGTGAATCTGTTGAATGAGACAGGAATTTCCAGGTGTTTGACATGTTCTCATCATTGCCGACTCTGGGGACAAAAAAAATAAATATACTGTTAAATATATTATCATATCATCATCATATTCTTAAACAAGTACCAGAAAAACTTGAACATGATAGCTGGCTCTATGTTCTATGATGACCCAGGACAAACTGCTCATATCAGGATCTACAGCAACATGAAACATTATTAATAGTGTTTTGAAGTATTTAATCTCATTATAAACTCAAAACTGTTTCAATTGTTTTGCTAAACAGCAGGGCACTTTCTTCTCAGAAATAACCTATTATGTAAGAAATGTCTGTTTAAAGCGTTTTGTGTAACCACTCCATTTTCCCCGTTTCCTAAGAGTCTGTAAAACTGAGTGCTTAAACTATAGTGGTTGCACTTTCTCTACCTCAGCTCATAACCTAACATCACAGACACCCAATATATGTTATACAAAAGACTGATTTTTAAAAGTCATAATGCAAATAAACATTACAATCATGAAAGAAAGACTTAAGGAGATCATGAAAATACAAAAATAAAGCAAAAAAAAACAACCCTAAAACTGTTTTGAAGAAAAAACATTATCCAGCACAGAGGTTTAAAAATACAGATAAAGAGCTCAGAGACAGCACCCAGGCCCAGAGTTCAAACCCCACTACCAACCGACCCCCGACCCCCCAAAACAAAAATATAGATAAAAGGAAATTGTGGCATCCTTAGTTAAGAAGTCTCCTCCAACCCAGCTTAGGAAATAGAAGAGATGTGGAGATCCAGAACTCTTGTAAGGACCACAAAAGCATTACAAGTGAGTGGGTAGAAACCTGTCCCAAACTCACGTCTGCAAAATGCCTCTTTTAAGAGACAAGGAAATAAGATTTAGAAGGAAACAAAACCACCAGGTTCACTGGAACAATACAAGAACATGAAAATCTTATAATGTGGGTTGGTTGTAAAAATATCCAATTAAATTATATCCCCCCCCCACACTTCCTTATTTCTATTTAAAACGCATCCATTTTTCCTCTCTTTTTGACAGCATTGCAGTTTGAAGTTAGGGTCTGTGCTTGCTTGGCTGTCACTTGAGCCAAGCCTTTTGAGATGGAGTCTCACGGACTTTTCTGGCTTCCAAGTGCTACCTGGAGATCTCAGTTTCCTAAGGAGCTAGCATTACAGTTGTAAGCCACCAAATGCCTGGCTTAAAGAACATCTTTTTATATCTCAGGTTCTTCAAAAGTGGAGTGAGGTCATATGTAAATGTCTTAAGTATCCCAGCTTGACAATGGTACATAAAAGGGACTCTAATGCAGAACAGCAGTCCATGATAGGGCAGGAACACAGCCCTGGCTGTCAGAACCACTCAACTGGCATCAAACCATTATTTACACATCCGATTCTAAAGGAACACTTCCTCAGATGATGGGATTATTATGTCCATGTCATCCAGTGGTCAACTGTGCTATCTCTAAACCAACTCACCCAGTAATGTTCTGTATGGAGACACTTTTGGACAGTGAGACGCTCTGCTGGGATCGTCTGTTGGCAAACACTGGGGCAGCAGAGGCATCACCCGCTAGAAGGACCGCAGATCTAGGACGTTCCTTGGGCTGTGAGGCTGCAAAGGAAGACAGCACGTTAAATGAAGCATCCCTGTCCACAATCACTGATGCTGGCTTACCTGACAAATGCCACACAGAAGCACAACACTTTAAAATAGGCTAGCCCTTGGAATATGACAGTGTAAGATCATGGAGACAGTTTGACGACAGCTACTAAACTCTGGTCCAATAATTCTACATCTAGAACAACGTAGTTTTATACCCGTCTTCAAGAACGTATGCAAGTTATTTAATGTAGAGTTGTTGAGAAAAGCAAAAGATTGGAAATGACAAAAGTGATCAGCAAAAAGGACTTACTAGTAAGATGCAGTGCTGAGTGTGGTGGCAAATGCCATGTAATATTGCACAGCTAAGGCAGGACAGGGAGTTTGGGTGAAACACAGAGGTCAACAACAAAACAGCCTTCCCAAAATAAGGACATTCTCCATGTACAAACTGTGGTCAGAAGTAACACACACAAAGAATCTTTCACATGGGCTGGGAAGGTGGCTCAGTGGTAGAGCGCTTGCCTTGCATGCATGAGGTCCTGGGTTCGATTCCTCAGCACCACATAAGAAAAAAGAAAAAAGCCAGAAGTGGCGCTGTGGCTCAAGTGGTAGAGCGCTAGCCTTGAGCTGAAGAGCTGAGGGACAGCATCCAGGCCCAGAGTTCAGGCCCCACAACCGGACACCCCCCCCCCCCCCAAAAAAAATCTTTCACATAAAGAGCTTTTGGAGAAAGAAAATAGGCTTCTGAAATAAGGGATAATGTCACAGGAAAACAGGTTAAGGTTAGTAAGACGGATGGGCTGGACCACAGACGGAAGTCGATGTCAGTGTGACCAAGTGACTTGTCTAGCCATCTGCATGCAAATATGGATATAGGCTACACTTAAAGTGTCTAAAGGGAGTTCGTATTCTTCCAGGGGAGTACAGACAGGTATAGCTATTCTCAAGCTCTGCAGTACTCAAGAGAAATGAGGCTTATGGCAGTGGCACTCACCTAGAAGATCCATTAAAGCACAGATTACTGGGCTCCACTTGGGAGTTCATGATGCACAGTCGTGGGTAGGACCCAAGAAGCTGCACAACTAATTGCTCCTGGAACTATACAGTGAAAACACTACCTTGGGCAAGTCTCACAGGTTCCCATGGAACCAGTGAAAAAAGACTACATTACTTGTCAGCAGTTAAAAGTAAGTGAGGGAAATCGATAGCTGAATCACACTATCTGCTTAGGGAAAACAGAGAAATCTGAAACAAAGGCTTCTAACAATCACCTGTGCCTCAACAACACAATGGGGGGAAAAGTGAGAACATGTAAGTATGAAGTATATCACCTAAATGAACAACAGACAAAACAGATGAATAAATTGACAGAAAAGGCAGATTAGAAAGACAAACACTAAATACTATAATAAGAATGAAATAAGAAACAGAGAATTAAGAGGGAAAACTAGTAAGGAAAACCACAATGAAGCCTTGCATAGACTAGTGAATGGCTGAGCATGATTTACCCAGTTTTTAACACTTGAGGTCTTTGAGGTGGGGGAAAATGAACCAATTACATAATTTCACAATTCATAAATAAGTTTAAGTAGCAAGACTCAAACAACTGGGAGGTGCTATAATCAAGTACTTAAGCCCACAGCTTGCTAAAGAGGAGACTGGGTTTCCTAATTGCACAGGGGTCATTTACTCACAGTGGGGTCTGCATCACTGCCTTTCAAGCTAGCACACATACTGTTGATTACAGAAAGTGTGTGGTGATAAATAGCATGGGTAAAGTGCTTTCGTGAGAAAATACTGCTACTGGTCAAGGAAGCTGCAGGCTGAAGCAGCAGCTTCATCCCACTGTGGTTGTCCTGAATAGGTAACTCAAAAATCTTGATGAGGAATGATAAATAAAAGCATTACATTATCAAGCTGCAGCCAGACCATTGGAAAGGACATCAGAGAAGTCGCTCATCTACTTACGCTTGTTCCTCATGATGACGGTGGGCAGTGATGACGTGTCATGTGCCTGGAGGGTCCCTTTGGGCTGCTAGAGAAAAGAGAGTGAACGCATGAAGACTGCACAGGACTGCCCGCTTCTACCAATGTAGGGATGTTGCTGCTTTTCCCAGGCTTGCTTTGCTCACTTCCTAGGCAAGGCATTCTTCCCTCTTCTTAGCCAAGACAGCAGCCGAGCCCCCCCGCAGAAAACCTCGCAGATCCCTCCAGAAAGCTCATCCTCATTACAGTAACTCACTAGTCTTCTCACTAGTCTGCTGGTTACTGAAGAGGAGCATCTCTGCCCTTTTCATTCCTGTTTTGCTACTGACTAGCCTTTATACGTTGTCAAACTCTTATAAAATGCTTAGTTAGGACTTGTAGTGAAATATAACAAAAAATACTTTGAGAAATTGTAGACTGAAACATTTAAGTAGAGAGAAATCCCTAACATGAACTGTTCTAGTTAGGTTACATTGTTACACACAGGAGATGCAACTCAAGTTCTTCTGCAGAACCCAGTGCATTCACAGTATTCACTGTGAAGTCTTAGCACAGATGCCCAACTCCAATAGCTGTAAGGTCAGACAGCTAACAAATGGGAGAAAGGAGTGGAGAGATGATTTAAAACTTGTATATCCTTAAGAAAGAAGCTGCGTGACTACTTGCTATGCATCATGCCAGCTTTTAAGGAACTATAAACCTGACACCATCCTGGATGTTTAAAATCTATAAATGTGGCTGGGAATGTAGCTTACTGGTAGAGTGTTTGCCTAGCATACATGAAGCCCTGCATAAGATTCCTCAGTACTACATACACAGAAAAAGCCAGAAGTGGCATTATGACTCAAGTGGTAGAATACTAGTGTTGAACAAAAGAAGTTCAGGGACAGTGCCCAGGCCCTGAGTTCAAGCCCCAGGACTGGCAAAAAAAAAGTAAAATTAAAAATCTAAAAAAAAGGAAGTGGCGCTGTAGCTCAAGTGGTAGAGCGCTCGCCTTGAGTTGAAGAGCTGAGGGACAACGCCCAGGCCCAGAGTTCAAGCCCCACGACCGACCAAAAAAAAAAAAAAAATGGGGCTGGGAAGGTGGCTCAGTGGTAGAGCGCTTGCCTTGCATGCTTGAGGCTCTGGGTTCGATTCCTTAGCACCATATAAGCAGAAAAAAAAGCCGGAAGTGGCGCTGTGGTTCAAGTGGTAGAGTGCTAGCCTTGAGCTGAAGAGCTGAGGGACAGTGCCCAGGCCCAGAGTCCAGGCCTCACGACCAGACCCTCCCCCCCCCCAAAAAAAAATACTGATTTATGAGTTAGGTATGGTAAAAATCTAAAAATGGATCAATGATTCCTGACTTCGGGTATGTTGGCAATTTATGTTTGGGGGGGAGGTATGGACCACAGAAAGTAAATATAATAAAAGATGGTTAAAAAACAGACTGAGAAGGTAGTAAGTATTACCTATGGAGGAAAAAAGCAGGGTAAAAATTGTAAATGATGACAAAAAAAGCACCCAGGGTTGTATGATCAAATTTTCAGGAAAAATTAAAAATTCAAACTGACAAAAAAATGTGTGTGCATGCATATATATGGGAAGGGGGGGAGGAGAGGAGCAGACTGGATGTGAACTCAGGACTTAGTGCTTGCTCAGCTTGCTTGCTTGGAAGATGTTCTACCACTTGAACTATACTTCTAGCTCTGCTTTCTGCTGATTATTCTGGAGATGGAATCTCAAAGACTTTTCTGGTCTGCCTGGCAGAAAAGGTCCTCCAGATCAGCCTCCTATTTAGCTAGGATCAATAGTGTGAGCCATGGACACCAGGCTTAAGTAATTTTTAAATAACGGCACAACCTCAAAATTAAAAAACAAATACTGCATGTCTGGGTGTGATCAGGGATACAGAAGTTATCTTCTTTCAAGAGGTTCAGTGCTTCTCAAAGGGAAGACACCTAGAAACTCATCAGAATGCAAATTCCTGGGCCCCCTCTCAAGTATGAAATCCTGGGGGCAGCACCCAGTAAATTTCCTCTAGTAAGCCCTTGAGGCCAGTGCACCAAGACAAACGTATCTGGTTTTCAACAAAGTACATACAACGTTGGGCATGCATACATGCAGCTGGAGAGTCTCTTCAGGTAAGGATTGAAAACAGTCTTCCTAAAAGGGTACACCCAAACTCACACTGTTTCTCTACGCACCACTGGAAAAGCAGCACAGGCCCCTATCCATCATGTATCACAAATCCCTGAATCCCTGCTGCCTTCCTCATGGTACTACATACAGAAGTAACAGTGGAGTTGGTGAGGTAGCTCATTGTTTCCCAGCACCATAAAAATAATAAAAGAGTATAAGCTTAAAAAAAAAAAAAGAGCAGTAGATCTGCAGATTTGGTTAAAAAGAAAACTTTAATATTAACATAAACATTAAATTAGCAGAGAAACATATATTTTAACATGTAGGGGCTCTGAATGCTTTCGTTTACTAAGATTCTGAAATTCCTGTATTAACTGAGAACTAATTAAAGAAAAATTGCCTTTCAATTATTCTGGTTAATTTTAGTTGAGACTACGTGATTAAAGCAAAACAAAACAAAACTCATCAGAACTTCAATTCTCAAGACTCATGAGAGTTTTGCTAATCTAAATGCTTCTAGTTTAAGCTTCTTCAAAACCAGAAATTTCTTACCTTCATTTTGACCTTCGCACAGGAAGCCAGACTTTCTCTGCAGCCTTTGTGGACAAAAGCACTGCAATCTGAAAAGAAAGGAGAAGTCAAGGTCACAATAAGCAGCAAGGAGCCTGTGGATTTTCAAGTGAAGTCATCCACATCCCATAACTGAAACTACATTTTGCAGTCCTCTTCTCAGAAGCCGGCCTCAGATGATATCAGGAGGAGAAACAAGAACAGATGTGACTTCTGATTAACAAAAATGTGCAACTTCCCAAAGAGGAAGCCTGAGCAGCTACCAAAATATAAACTTGTAGGTTTGCCTTGCTGCTTATTTGTATGCTGAAATCACAAGAAAACATATGAACAAAGCCAGTAACAGGAGTTATAAATTTTGTGTTACTGTTCCCAATCGCAGGGTGTAGATTTAAACATTTATCTTCCACGTGGGGTCTCAACTACCCTGACCTTTTTGCAACGTGCTCTGACTCAAGAGCCACACACACAAAGGTGATTACAGCTCTCCCCAAACTCCCTGGGAACCCTGACTTAAGAAAAGGGAGGTCTCCTGAGAGATAAAAGTGACTACAAGCTTGCCAAAATAGAAAGACTTCAATTCAGAACACTTCTGATTTCTCCTTTCCTTGTTCTACAAGGTCCACTGCTCAAGAACTGTTTTTGGAAAGGTCATCGCTAGCTCTTACTGCTGAGATGAAGTCATGAAAAAGAACTGTGCCAAACAAAAGGTCAGGGATGAAGATCTGCCCTTGGGGATGACTGAGAAGCAATCTCTCCTGGGAGAGGCTCACTCAGGAAGTCAGCGCAGACAGCATCCCCTGGGTAATGTTTCAGGAAGTGTACTAACAGGTCCAGCCTTGGCCAACTCATGAAATGGGGGTGGTAGGGGGGAATGATGATTTCTGAAGATCAGACGATGGACTACAGGGGAGGAGAGAGGATGGAATGGTAATAGCCAAGGGTGTGGTAACAGTTACTTTGACAACAGTTGCTCCTGCCATACCCACTTGGTTCCCAGGACTTTCCCTGAATCCTTGTTTTAGAATCACTGTTTTAGAATTCTGCTAGGTTTTTCTTCCTTCACTGTGTTCTTCTGCAGTATGGATGTGTGTATCCATTGCTAAACCTAACTCTCCAGGACAGTCAATGCCTAGATTATGGCACCTTTAAAAATGTTTCTCTGTAGACCTCACACCTTTTTTTTTTTTCAATCTAAGCCAAGTGCTCTGACACAAACTAAGTCAACTACTGACACCAAAAGGAGAACAGGACACAAATAGTTGTCAAGGGAGATTAGATTTGGGCCCTGGTCCTGTGGATCACTGTGACTCTCCTCAGGCCTCGGTCTCTTCATCTATAAAACATAAATAGCTGGGTGCTGGTGGCTCATGCCTATAATCCTAATTACCCAGGAGGCTAAGATCTGAAGCCAGCCTGGGCAGGAAAGTCCGTGAGACTCTTATCTCTAATTAACAACCAGAAAACCAGAAGTGATGCTGTGGCTCAAGGGGTAGAGCGCTTGCCTTGAGAGGAAGAGCTCAGGGACAGTGCCCAGGCCCACCCAGAGTTCAAGCCCCATGACTCAAACAAAACAAAAGAAAACCCATTAATAAAGAAGGGTCACAGTCTCCCCCCACCCCTTTTTTAAGTAATGAAGACATGCCAATGAAGAAACTTTCACCATCTGCCTCATTTTAGATGTGTCCATTTAATGAATCAGCCCTTCTTGGTGTAGAGTTTAGCCCCACCCCACCACATATGCACCTAAACAAAATCCTTATAGTACCATCTGTAATACAGACAGTTGAAAGTGATCCAAATGACTGAGTACAGGAACACCTCTGAAATATTTGTATCTGAAATACTGGTAATACAATACCACAGAAAATCCAAAAGTCAATGATGTAGGTCTGTGTTCTCAACATGCTGATTCCCCAAGATACAATACTGGGGAGATAAAGCCAATTACAGAATCAGATACCCTGCTAACAACAAAAATTAAAATTTGGTGACATGAGATGGAACTGTAACAGAGATTTGATGTACACCCAGTTTGTGATAGTACTTATCTATGGGAAAGAAGAGGAATAAGAACAGGAAAACAGGAATTCGTTGCTTTTTAAATTTTACTTTCTGGCAGGGAGCTCAAATTTAACTGAAATGGTTTATTTCTTTAAAATGAAAAATAATGTAAAGTACTAGTGACAAAATGTCATTTTCTTCCCTTCTTTTCTGCTGTGATGGGAAATGAACCCAGGGCCTAACACATCTAAACAAGTGCTCTGTCACATACATACATACGTACATACATACATACATACACACATACATATATACATAATACATTATAATAAATATTATATATATTAGTGAATGCCAGGTACACAGGTACCTCCTAAATTGTCTGTGTGGAATACTTTGTATTAATATCTTTGAAAACTAAGAAGTTCCTTAGAATTCCTCAGAAACATTTCCGCATCATTTGAAGAGTCACCAAACCTATAATAATAAAGCTATTTTCAATTCTATTTTATTTTTCTTTGCTTTACTGAACAAGTAAAATGCTTTTAGTTAACTGAGACACATCTCAACACAGCTTAAGTCTTTTTTTTTTACAGCTGAAGTCTTAACATGCTCTGTGTTATGGTCATGAGTCTTAGTGGTAAACAATTCATATGGACACCTGCTTCAGATACTGAGGTACCTCCTTAAAAACACTCAGCTTGTTACCAAGCAGTACTTGACTCAGTGCCCAGCCACGGGACAGTCTTGGTGTGTTTCGGTGCAGTTGTACATGAGTGAAGAGAAAACTTCTAGCCCTCCTGACATCAGGCAGTCATGCGATTAAAACCATATTCTCTGTTTTGGAAAATAAATAATTTACCAAGAACACAAGAATGAAAGACAAATCGAATACATGTTTAAGGTCATTGCCAAAAACCATACCACAATGTTAGGAAGATCATAGAAAAACTATCTGACCTTTAAATTATTTTATTTAAAAGATTTCCTAATAGCAGTGAGCAATATGCTTTCATTTTCCAAAATTCTTGAAAAAGCTCTCAGTGCAGTAATTTATGGTTCAGAACAGAGCCATAAATTAAATTTTTCTGAAATTAAAAGCAAACAGCCCATCACCAACAAAATCCTTGTTCAAATGAGCCCTCAACAGAAGAAAATGAAATGAAACCCACATGACTGGGGAACTGTAATCTATCTGTTGGTACATTCTTTTAAGCTTCTGCCACCAAACACCACAGATCTTTGTAATATGCCATGTATTTTCTCTCTCAGCAGAAAAATGGGCAGTTAATGAGACTAGCTTACAAAAATCAGCTTTGCCAGGCATGGTGACACACATTTATTGGGAGGCAGAGATGGGAGGAACAAGGCTCCAGGTCCAGCAAGGCAAAAGAAAAGTTTTCAAGCCTCTATCTCAACAAACAAGCTGGGTATGGTAGCTAGGCAGAAGGTGAAACTGGGTGGCAGTCTGAGGGTGGTCCTGGGCAAAAGCATCTATCTGAAAAACAGAGTAAGGCAAAAGGAGCTTGTTCAAGTGATAGATTGCTTGCTTGGCAAGCATAAGACCCTGAGAGTTCAAGCCCCTGTATTGTATTAAAACAACAACAACAACAATAACAAAAACAACAACAAGAAGACCAGCTGCATAGATTTAAGAGGAGTGACTATTCCAAAATAAACTAAAGTTAGGGTATGGAAGAACCACATGCCTTCTTGAGGAAAGACTGACATTTGCGAGCTGACTCACTCAGCCAGAGCTCTGAAGAGGGGTTTTCCAGTACTAGAGCCCACTGATCACCGCTGGGGAATACACTGACTTTTCACTGTTCTATCTACTATAGGCAAATCTGAGAGGCAAACTCTCTATGTGAAAAATGACCCGATCTTTCTTAAGGATACAGGTTGAAGAATTACCTTTCAGAGTAGAAATATGCAACTTCCTCTTATCATTTCAACCCTAACAAAGAAAAAGCAAACAAAATGTTTTAACATGAGCAATGCAGAGATGCACAGATGCCACAATTCTATCCACAGGGAATGTCAGATGATGTTGGTAGCTGGTATAACAACCACAGTGCTCAGACACTCAACAGGAGAGCCATCTAGAAAAGCCTAACCATCCTCGGTGATGTTCCTTAAGAGTGGTTTCATAAGAACATCAGCAAACAAGGAAGCAAAATGAAAGTGCTCTGCTTGAAAAGAACCGACTCTGCTGCTCAGGCTTTCCATTCACCTTCCTTTCCCCTAATAACAAACTTCCTTTTGTTGATCAGTTACCATTCTCATATATATATAAGCAATGAACTCTAAATGCCAGAATATTGTTTACCTACAGAGCTGCTTTTCATAATGAAATACTAAAGCAAAATACAATCATCAGACAGTCTAAGTTCTTCTGTTTCTTTAGATTACAGCTGGTTTACTTGTTTTATTTTTTGGATCAAGAGGAAGCACCTACTACAAAAGTACTCTGAGGCTGCTAACACAAGAGAAAATAAATCAATAATAATATAAATATTTCTTTACATCTGTTAGAAGCAAACAGTAAAACCCTGGCAAGATCCAAAAGCCCAAGTAACAAATTCTTTATTCTGAAGGACACACCAAGCTTTCTACAAATACATTTTTCTGTGGAAGCCGGAAAGAATAACTGATGATCCAAGGTCAGTTTTACATGAGAAAGAATAAATCACTGTAAACACAGCTCTTCTCACCATGAATTCACTTAATCCTAAAGCAGGAGCAGATTGGGCTGTGCAAAAGTCCTTCTAGGGTTTCCTTTAAATTACTTTGAAATATTCCTGACGAAAGACTCCAGCTTCTGCCTGGACTTCTGGTGTTTAAATCCAGGAGGAGAGTGGATGAAAGCTACGTGAATGTTATCTGCCTGTGATTTCTAGCTGCTCCGACCATAACTACCTCTGCATTCCTCCTCATGCAGAGCTGTTACACTCTGTCTCAGACTGGCACAGGTGGATCTGGTGATGTCAGAGATGCTGAGGTTAAAACATTCTATGCTGTTCAATCCTTTAGTATCTTCATGTAGATAGTCATATTAAAGTGGTGGAAGGAAGACAAGATAGCAATGCAAATCATGTTAATCACCCTGAAGAACTACGTAGCTCATCTTTCTAAACCACACCTGGAAACCTGATTGAGCAGGTGTGAAGCTTCATTGGGGGGGGGGGGGGGGGAGTGAGTGAAATGGGGTGATGTTAAACAACAAAAAGTCAAAAAGTTACTTTCTTGAGAGGGATGGAACATTTACTGAAACTCCTGGGAAGATGCAACATGAGAGGCGACGAAGGGAAAGAACAAATGATTCTGAGTCTCCCAATTACTCAGCCCTTCCATTTCCTGCCAAGATAACAGATGGGGCTTCATGCATGCAAACGTGGATTGCAGGCACTGGCCTCCGGGAAGCCAGGAGAAGCAGGCCACTGCTTCTTGTTTTCTGGGAGGATGATTATAACTGTTCCTTTGTTTCCAAGCCTTGACTTCTTCCTTCCTCCTCCTCCTCGTCACATGAGGAAGGCTGCACAATCTAATACACAAATTTCACTGCCACTCCCAGATGGTGAGCCAATTTCAACACTACATTTGGAGCAGGGCACAAAGTTGTAGTTCATGCATGGGTGCCTAAGTTTCTGACGTGGAAATATATTTTTGACCTTTGGATGCTTGGTAGGTGACAACGATATCCTATCTGTACTACGAGCTTCTCTGTCCTGTGGGATTTCTCCAATTGTGACATGAGACAGGCAGCTGCCATGGTGTCATCAAAGCAGAGGACAAGAAGGCTGCTGAGGGGGCCAAGGTTATACCTAGGAAGCTAAATTAGAATTATCCCTTGTATCTGCCACCCCAGCTTAACCAGCAGCAGGCAGAACAGCACCACAACTGTTTGTATCAATGGCAAAATGTTGTAAGGCGTTAATAGTGCCTTGGCAAACCTTCAGAAAAAAAGAATATTGGGTGGGCCATTCAGTTTTTTTATGTGTACATGACAGGTTTAACTTAGCGTTTTTAAAAATCACTAATAGAAACAACAGAGCCAAGAACCATACACAACATTTTAAGATTCATTAAGACAAAGGTGAATGAGGGGAAGAAATAAAAGGTTTTCAATTTACATTAAAAAAAAAAAAATCCTCTCCTAGTGCACACCGACAGCACAGCAGTGCCCTTAGTACGCTCACTGCCCAGAGGGCCCAGCAGAAATCGCTTAGGCTTAATAGGAAGAGGAATCAAGAAATCAAAATGGGACTAGGATGCCTGTGGTTAAAAGAGGTGCACTCTCTTAGCCCATGAACTACAAATGGCCTTTATATTTTAGATGGTAGGGAAAAGAAATGAAATGATGGGTTTTACACAACATGCAAATATTTAAATTTTATGTCCATAATAAGGCCTTATTGTTCCTTGGTTTATATATCTATGGCTACTTTGTCCTGCAACTGCAGAGTCTGGTAGCTGTGACAGACCAGATGGCCCTCAAAAAAGTTAACTGACTCTGGCAGGCCTGTGAGTGCCTCATCAAAACCAGGAACTGAGCTGGTTATTACAGAGATCAGCAATAGGCTAATATGGAACATCAATGCACATGATGTCGGTAAATGGATAAAGCATATGCCAAAGGAACAGATTTGATCCTTTGGTCTAGTGATATAACTCAGAGGTAGAGAGCTGTCTAATATATGAAAAGCCTCAGGACTGATCCCCAGCATAGGAAAACAAAGCACAAGACAACAATAAAAATAAGCCCACATAACCCAACAAGGGACTGCTAGGCAACTATGGGGTTTTTAGGTTATGAATTGTTCCGACAGGGACACAGACTTCCTGAATAGGAGGTAGTCTGTGAATAATAGAGCAGAGTATTTGAAATTGGGGATGTCTGAAAAATTACAGGCTAGAGTTTATTCGTTTACAATAAATTTCCTCAATGATGTTTAAAGAAAAATACAGCCAGAGCTACTTTTGCACATAAATGAGGAACAGATAAGGGGTAGGATGGACAGGAAACTAGAAGCAAATCAGCTTTCCTGAACCAAGAGAGCCTCATCTTAGGAACAGAACAACCAGGTCTCTTACTTGCACAAGTGTAGGCTTCTTTGTTGGTGAAAGGCTTCATACATTGGCTACAGCTGATGGGACCAACAATAGGAATGGAACTGAAAGTATGTCCGTTGAGAGGCTTCTTATCCTTCTCCTTTTCTTTAGAATCTTTCTCTTTCTCCTTAATTTTATCTTTCTCCTTCTCCTTTTCCTGCTGAAAAAAAGATTCAATAGTTAATTCAACACTGAAAGGTCTTCCTAAATGCCCAGATGGCATGTGGTAACTATTTTTGAACAAAGGGGAACTTTACACCGACAGACACTAAGCCCAAGGGCTAACAGCAGCAAGAGGTATTGTCAAGCAAAGTCTCTGGTAAGGCACAGGGTAATAATCCACACAGGAAGCAATGAGCTTAGTGTCAGTATGTAGATGGAGAGGAGAAAGGATGGTGGCAATTCTGGGGTCAGAATTTCTCCAGGGAGGGGAAAGATGCTGCACGAAACATCACACTAGCTGCATATCAATCACTTCCTGAGGAGCTTTTGTGAGATACCCTCCCGAACTCTAAGCCAAAACTATTAAATATTTCGCACACAGAGATTTCACTGATTAGAATTTTTAAAGTTATGGATCTTAACTTTGGCCCAATATTCCAATGGGAAAGAAGAGGCTGTTGAGAAAAAGGAAGACATCTTAGGTCTGGGATGAAAATTAAGTTCTTCTGCTATTACCACAACTGCTTATAATAATGTACTGTAGCCAGGTATACACTATTTCACCCAACCTATCTTTTATTTGCAGAATGGTAAAGGTCCCATTTCTTATGTTTAAAAAAATAAAAACTGGGCACAAGTGGCTCATGTTTATAATCCTAGCTACTCAGGAGGCTGAGATCTGAGGATCACAGTTTGAAGCCAGCCTGGGCAAGAAAGTCCATGAGACTCTTATCTCCAATCAACCACCAGAAAACCAGAAGTGATGCTGTGGTTCAAAGTGGTAGAGCACTAGCCTTGAGCAAAAGAGCCCAGAGACAGGCAGTGCCCAGGCTCTATGACTGACAAACAAAAAAGTAAGTGAAATAAAACATGGAGAGCATTTGGCACAGTGCACAGCATGTATTAACATTTAACAAACTGTATGTAAAAACTCCTATCTGAGCTTTGCTAGCTTACCACCCTCTAACCTAACACTGACATTCATTCCATTACAGTAAAGGATTTTTTTTTTTATTATGGCCAGTCCTGGGCCTTAAACTCTGGGCCAGAACTCTGTCTCTGAGCTTCTTTTTGCTCAAGGCTAATGCTCTACCTCTTGAGTCATAGTGCCACTTTTGGAGTCTCATAGACATTCCTGCCTGGGCTAACTTCGAGCCAGATCTCAGATCTCAGCTTCCTGAGTATCTAGAACTACAGGTGTGCCTATCAGGAAGGACTACCCTGACTGAAGGATAAAAGAAACTGAGGAGTATCAGGAGGACATCAAGGCAGAGAGGCATAAGAGGTCTGGAGAGGACAACTGCCTTGTTTGTCCCTTCAAACAAGTAGCCACCATGGCCACTTCTCCAGTGAAAACAGGGATCCGGAGACAGGCATTCCCCAGGCCTGCCCGCTCACTGCTCTGCCTGGAGGCCCAGAAAGACAGAAAAGCAGGCACAGCATCCTTGGTTTAAAGGGAAAAGGCTTCCCAAGACCTGCTCTCTGATCTCTACTGTGATGCACCCTGCATCCCCATGGTCTCCCTGACCTCCCAGAGGAGGGGGAGGAGGAGGAAGAGGAGGGAGAAGGAGGGAGGAGGAGGAGAAGGAGAAGGAGGAGGAGGAGGAGGAAGCTGACATTCACAGTGTTCTCAAGTTACCAGCCACTGCACTGGGCACTCTCTGGTGACTGAGCTCAGGACACTGGCACAGGGTGTGACAAAGGTGGCTTGAGTACCAGACTGCTCTCACTTTTGACACCTCAAAACAATACAGGAATGTCAGAAATTCTCTGGCAACACAAGAAAGCAAAGGGCTTTCATGTGACATCAAGCATCAATCCAAGAGGGGCTGTTACCAAAACTTACACAGGCATGAAGAGAAATGGAAAGGTACTTAAGCCGTGATATTGAACAAGTAACTGAAGAATGCTTACTGAAATACCTAGAATAGTCAGGGACATTTCAGGTTCACACTGGACTTGAGAGGCCAGAACATGCTCTTTACTTGCCATATTTTAGAAGTAATATTTGGCAAAGCATTCAACTGACTCATCAGTATCAGTGGACTAAGGACTAATTTCTTTTCAAACCAACTGAACCATGAAGACCTACAATTCACCTCTATCGCCACTGTTAGAATCTAGAAAATACCTAACAAGTGGGTTCACGAGCATAACAACTACTATCATGTAATTTTAAATCAGTACCTTCCACACAGATTATTCCACCTGACTCAGTAACAATGAAGTAGATAGGATGAATGTTCTTTCCCACTGAAAGGATAATAAATGACAGCCAAAATCCTGAACAGTTATGAAGGGTGATGAAGCATCATAGTAAATACTTCACACATTTTATTACAATAACCAAATTAGTTCTATTTATCCCCATTTCAGATATGAAATGACTGAGGGTTAGGGATGCCCAATAATGCACTCAAGTGTACAGAGGTAGTATTCCTGCTGGAATTCAACTGAAGTGGACCTGGCCACTTCAAGCTCAGATCTCTTTTCTCTGCTTCGGCAGAGGTCCTGAGAGGTTCCTTGACTTGCAAAATGTTTCTGAGGAAAAGATCAGTGGTCAAGATTAGAACCCGTGTTTTCTGCCTTCTTCAGAACTCATCTACTAGGAAGAAATGGTATTTATCTGCTAAGTCTATCATTCACATGAAGTCCTTTGTTAACAGAATATATGTCACAGAAATCTAAGAGCCAAATTGCCCATACTATTAAGCTACCAAAACAAAACACCAGAAGGGAGAAAAACCAAAACTAAATGACTCCATTTTACAAAACAGGAACTGTTCTAAACGAAAATTAGCACACGAAAGTCTTAACAAAATCTGAGCCTAAGTAACTCCCTTTTTCTTTCAATTGCACTTTTCTAAAGATTTTTCTCCATGTATAAACTGCTAAGCTAAAAACTTTTGATTTTTCTTTTTTTGCTCAAAAAAGCTACAAGCATGCTTCAATGGTTAAATTCTCTATAGCAATTAGTTTAGCCTCTCAAGCCTTGCTATGCTCTTCAAATGTGAATAAATGATAAATAATTATCATTCTATATGTAACAATGGCACTAGTTCTTCCACGGATTAAAAAAAAAAGCTACACTGGTTCATCCTGTGTTCATTAGAACTCAGTTCTTTAAAGAAGTCAGGCGCTTACCTGTCCATGTTTCAGTCCTGTGAATCTCACTGCTATGAGGGGTACTTCAGGAAGCCGACCCCATTTTATCGACATGATCCAGCCCCCATGCCAGAAAATGTGTTCTCACAGAAGGATGGCTCATGCCAGCCAAGCAGCACTCAGCAGCTTTGAGCTGCCATTAGCAAGATGGTAAGAGGAAGCCAGAGACTGGGTGAGAAAGGGAAGGAGGGAGGGCTGAAGCTGCCTGTTTCCTTCAAACTGTCTTAACTATTTGAATGCTGCTAGAAGAGCATACCAACTGCCTTAAAGGACACAGGAAGGGAGAAAAAACGAATCTTCCAAAAGACGCTGCTGTGTTGATGGTCCTTATGGTGCAATACGGACAATCTGGCAAGGACTAAGGCCAAGTTTTTCACAGCAGAAGTTAAGGAACCAGAACTATTGCTCCAAATTTTATAAAGATCAGATCATAAGAAAATGTTTAGTGAAGCTGCCTGTGGTAAAAAAGAAAAGCAAAGGGTTTTCTTATGAGAAATAGTAATGTGCTTTACTTTGAAAGGCTGATGTGCTTAAGTTCTTTCATATAGAAGCCACACCAAAAAAAAAAAAAAAAAAAAAAAAAAAAATGGGGCAGGACTATAACTCATGTACACAAAAACACCTACGCTGAGTTAGACTAAGAACTGGTCTAAAATATTTCCATCTACCTTCTGGTTGTCTATGCAGAAAAGAAATCTTAATAGAAACAAAAAAACAGATAGAATGGTTGAAAGAGGCTTCTTCCACTCACTTTATGAACCTAAAATTAGGCATTTGGGTATGTAAATACAAACAAGCAGACTTAGCAGGAAACAGTATTACCACCTCTTAAAGATAAAAGCAGAAGCTGTCAGCTTCCCGTTAGACTTCCTGTTTAAGTTCCCCAACATTTTCATAAACATTCGATATATTTGGCTAATAATTTAGGCCAGTTATTGGCAACTCCAAAAAGGTTGGGTGAACAATCTTATATTGAAAGTATAGAGTTTATGTACAATAAAATCTACTGCTGGGGCTGGGGAGGTGGCTCAGTGGTAGAGCGCTTGCCTTGCATGCATGAGGCCCTGGGTTCGATTCCCCAGCACCACATAAGCAAAAAGAAAAAAAGCGGAAGTGGCGCTGTGGCTCAAGTGGTAGAGTGCTAGCCTTGAGCTGAAGAGCTGAGGGACAGTGCCCAGGCCCAGAGTTCAGCCCCACAACAGGGCCCCCCCAAAAAACAAAACAAAACAAAACAATAAAATCTACTGCTATCTGCAAAATATAAAATTCAGTACATGTGAACAATCTGCTGCCTGATGGCTGTCTAATTTAACTGATTCAAATATTTAAAAACTGTATCCTTTGCACAACCACTTAAAATTTTAAAAACCAAAACCCAACAATTTATGTGCTAAATAATTTATAGACACAGTAAAATAAACTGAATGTAAGAAGCCAAAGTTAATAATTATGACTTACTTTCCTAAATCATGTATATAAATCATCATCATTTCCAAACCATCCTCAGCTAAGTATTATAGATGTCACTTTAGTGTAATTATTTAAAAGATGAACAAAATAAGTAAACCAGATGTCTTCTGCTGTATGTACTAAAATCTTTTTTTAACATCATGGGAATATAACATTATACATAGTTAAGGAAAATTTAATATTCCTTTATTTTTGTAATAATTAAAAAGATAAAATACTTCTGTCCGGTAAATCTCTACTGCAATTAGCACTGCTTCATTATGTCCCCTATTATTATCTTTGCCTAAAATTACAAAATCAAGATGTTTCTCAGTAAGTTTTATAACAATCTTATTAGCTGTTTATTTCACTCTACCAGCCCTTTAACAATCTCATTTACTTTTTTTTTTTTTGCATTACTGGTGTTGAGCACAGGACCTCACTAGTGCTAAGAAACAGCTCTACCTCTTGAGCCATACTCCCTACTCACGGCCTTTGTATTTTGCTTCCAGGGTCATGCTTATTTTCCCCAGACTTGTTTCAAATTTGGGATCCTCCTTTTTACCTTTCCAAGTACCCAGGAATGCGAAGAGAAGCCTCTCCTTTGTTAATTTATTTTTACCTCAAAGACTAGAGTTTGCCAGGAGAGGGAAAAGGAGAACCAACAAGGGAAAGGGCCATTGTGTTAGAGGTTAATCTGTCACTGCTGGTAGAAATGGCTGAAGTAACAATTGACCTCTTGCCTCTGATCACTCTCCTTAGTTAAATTGACAATATTCTTTCACAACTGAGCTTGTTTCCTCTTTTAGTCTTGGCTTCAAGATCTTTGAGGGTTGTGCAGTCTCCAGCAACAGAAACAGACAAAAAAAAAAATCACAAATCCAAACCCCTGGATTGCCACCCATATCTCTTTATCAAGTGTGTAGGTTGCCCACATGATTAAGATTATTAAGATGGCATCTTTTATGATAATTAACTAACTTGTACATAACAATACTATAATAATATTACTAATAACAGATTGTGTTTGAGAGTAACCATCAAGTGACAAGCAAGACTTCAAGCACTTCTGCCTTATCATCTAGTCTTATGACTTGAGATATACTTTCCTGTGCTTCAAAGAATAAGCAGAGACTTGATGTAAAGGTCAAGCTCCAGTTGGGGGTGTCTGCAGCCTGTGAGATGATTGACTTAGGTGGCGTACAAATGCCAAGGATGACACTTACTTTGCTCTTCTTACTGCTGGACATTTTATTCTTGATATAGCTGAAGGTACGACTAACTTTGGTTCCACTCTTCCCTTCAAAATCTTTCTTGGTGAGGCTTGGTGGCAGGAAATTGTAGTTTTCTTCTGTTATACTAAATGAAAACAAGAAAATTGACTTTTTTTTAAGGACTACAAAAGTTAAATGGGAAGCAAAGAAAGAGACACCCTGAACGGTTTCATACAATATTCTATGATGTTCATACTGCCAAAGCCTGGTTGTTTTTTTTATAGCAGTCATTAATATTGCAATTATGGACTTCTGTTAATATTCTGTAATTATTTTATCTGAACCTTCTTAACCAAAAATAGCATTCAATCTACAAACTTCTTTGCAATAAGTATTTGAAAGAAAATCTATGTATGTAATGAAGGCAGACTATTGGTAATAAGGTTTGCAAAACAAAATCTATGACTGAGTGCATATCCTGTCTCCTGAACAGTGGAGGCCACACATCTTTTCAAGCCTTTTTAGCATACTAGGCAATGAAGACTGTGAGCTAGTCTGTGCGTGAAGCCATGCCTGTGCTCTTCTTTTAAGAAGAGAAAGCAATCAGAATTCAGGTAGAATGCAGAGAGATCCATTTTATCTACTTAAGTACTTCAGGAAGCTTACAGATAATCTACGTAGGAAACAGACTTGACTTCAGGAAACTACTTACAGTGGCTGGCTTTCTTAAATAATACTGGGCACTTAATAATTCACTACATGGGAAGAGTCCATTTATATAGCTTTGCTTAGGCACTATTTTGGAACTTTCCCACAGAGGAGTAGTATTGGCTTCTGAGAAAGCAGGCAGAGGCAGAACTACGAAGGGGCCCTCCTGAGAGCTACCTCTATGTATGTGATGTTTACAGAGATAAAAATGAAAGGACGCGAAAATCACTGCTGGAGAAGGACGTAAAAGCTACAAAAGCAACTTTATAAAGAGAAGCACTCATTGAAAGCAGTCTTAGTCACGGAATCACAACCCAATGGCTTTGCAAAAAAGCAGGTAACTTCAACGTCAGGGCAACAATCAGAACCTCAATCTTGCTCAAATTAGAATATTGAATTTCATAAGTATGAAAGAAATTTTAAAAAAAAAGAGACAGAACAAAAATATTCTCTGCTGTCAAGCAAAGACCGAATTCAGGACTAGGCTGCATCTCAAGGTACAAGGCCTGCCCAGCATGCAAGAGCCCTTGCTTCTATCCCTAGCAGTCTTCTTCCTCCCTCTTAAAAGAACCAGTTCAATTACTCAGACAAAGCTGTATACCACATACACTGAAAAAATAAAATAAGACTAGAGTGTTCATTTGTTTCCTCTTCTCTCCCTCCCTTCCCTCTACCCCTCTGCTCCCTCTTTCTTTCAAATGCTGGACGTAGGACCAGAGTCTCATTCAAGCCAAGCAAGATATCTACCACTGGCTATACTACCAGGCCCCAGTGACTAATACTAAGACTGCAGCACTGCAAGAATGCTCTCCCACATCTTTCTTCCTCCTTCTCCCTTCTCCTTTTCCATCCTTCTTCTTCTTCTCCTGTTCCCTTCACCTTCTGCTCATACACTAATTATGAAACAAAATGCTGTTAAGACTTAGGAATTAAAAATCCCCATAACCAAAATGTGCTTTAAATACATGTGAGTTTTTATATGAATAAATGCAAATGATATTCCTTATCAGAAAGACAACCAAAAGGAGAAAACTGCAAAACTATTAGAGATATTACATTTAAAAGATATAACCTTCAGTATAAAATCACTTCCTTTTGTTTCCTATTTTTATAAAATAATTATTCCTATGTTAACATGCAAGAAGGAACCCAATGGGCTCAAATAATCTAGTGTGCTTAGTTAAATGCTATAAGACAGTTTAGATTTTTATTTCATTTAGAAAAAAGTACCAAAATAAACGGAGAGTACCTCTCGGCCAGGTTAGCACTGGTGTTGTGGAAGGACCGCGAATCTGGGGGGGGGAAGTGAGAAAAAAACAAACAAACATGATTTTTACCCTGAGGACAGGTATTGACCAATATTCAGGTTCCATGAGCCACCTTTGAGATTCTTCATAGGAAGAATACAAAGTAAGAAAGCAAATGCTGGATTTTTTGTTTTTTGGGGATTTTTTTTTGCTGTCGTTGTTGTTTCCACAGTGCTAAGCATGCTATCATCTATTTCTACTAGAAATCCAGCATTCTCTCCTTTTTACCTGAGAATTATTCAGATTGGTGACCAGGAAGAACCATTAGAGTGAGCATCTAAAGTCTTGGGCCTGTTGCTAATTTAGGATAAGATGTCTCCATTTCAGTTCCTCATTCATGCAATGAAGTTAGACTGAACCAGACAGGAGGGCCCTTCCCTGGCTGAGTGATACAATGAATGGGGCAGAGGAATTCTTTCTCCTCCCCTGACTATAGGAGCATACATGGAAGTAGATTATCAAAACTCTAAGGCTAATGAGACCACAAGTCATTAAGCTGGAAAAACATTGCTCTGATTGATCACATATGAAGCTGAGTACCAAGGACGTAGAAGGAACAGCAGGCAAACAACAAATGGTTTTCAATCTTTAGTGATATCAGATACAGTCTGCTTTGCTCAGTATGACTGTTAAGAAGTTCAAGACTTCAGGGCTGGGAAGGTGGCTCAGTGGTAGAGTGCTTGCCTTGCATGTATGAGGCCCTGGGTTCGATTCCTCAGCACCACATAAGCAGAAAAAGCCAGAAGTGGTGCTGTGGCTCAAGAGGTAGAGCGCTAGTCTTGAGCTGAAGAGCTGAGGAACAGCACCCAAACCCAGAGTTCAGGCCCCATGACTGGCAAAAAAGAAAAAAAAAAAAAAAAAGAAGTTCAAGACTTCAATCTGACAGAGGTTGAAAGATGTTCCACAACCAGACTGCCAGCATTTGAAACTCAGAATAGATTCTGAATAGTAATGCAGAATTGTAGCTACTGCTAAGTGACTCAAATAGCAGGTGGAAATAATGCAAATGTTTTAAAAAGATCTATAAGTCTTCAAAAAAAAATTGCCTTCTGTGTTTTCTCCTTTTCTCTAGAGTTTTCCCCCGACCTTTCCGGGATGAATGGTACCAACAGCCATGAGGGAAATGCTGACAGGTGTTTGTGATCTGTCCCCAATTCTGCACAATGTAGGTATGAAACTCAGCATTTTAACCTGATGTCACAGCTTAGAAAAATCAAGAAGGTACTTTAAAATTTTTCCCACTCAAAGGGTCTCTGATTAAATTCTCTCAAGACTCTTGCACATTTACACAATTACAAAGAGGAAAAAAATAAATTTGTCACTAAAGTGAACCCATAAAACATTAGTGAAAGTAAGTAGCATTTCAACCAGATTTTTTTCAAAAGGCCAAAATAACCTTCAGGCTTTTATCTTATACCCAGAGACTTTAGATCGTAATTACTATACAGACATGGCCAATTACTTTTCAGTATATTCCATGGGACACTGGTCTTAAGAATGCATAGACTTGCACATACTATGATTTTTAGTTCATGAATTTGGGAAGCAGCACATCAAACAATTAGAGAACAAATACAAGCCCCAAAAATATAGATAAAATAATCTCACTAGCTCTGATGCCTAACTTTCCAGAGGCTTGCCTTGATCTGTGTTCACATGACTCATACATCTTTTTAAAACTAATACAAATTATGTATAAAAACTGGAGTTGAGTTCCAGGCCCCTCATGGCTCATGTCTGCAATTCTATCTACTCAGAAGGCTAAGATCTGGGAATCACAGTTTAAAGCCAGCCTGAACAGGAAAGTCCAGGAGACTTTTATCTCCCATTAGCCAGTACAAAGCAGGACGTGGAACTGTAGCTCAAATGGTAGAGTGCCAGCCTTGAGAAATCTAAGAGTGCCTTGGCCCTGAGTTCAAGCCCTAGTACAGGCACTAAATAAATGAATGAATCAATGAATCAATAAGCAAGCAAGCAAGCAAGCAGACTATGAGGTTCAAATGTCTAATGGGTACCACCCTCTCTGAACATTATGATCACAAGTATTAAAGAGTTTTGGTATACAGTTTCTCTACTATTTGAAACATCTTTCGGGTGAGAGCAGTGAAAGCTGAAAAGAATGGCTTACTTTTATTCTGTGTATGAAAGAAGCTATGAAGTATGTTCTTAAGTTCTCTTAAGAAACTAAGTTTCCCAGGATATAGAGACAGAGAACCCCTGGTACTGTTCTCTGATGCAAAGAAGAGAACTGCTCTGCAGATGTCTGCTGGGGCATCCTCTCTCAGGGACATCCTCCCTAATGTCTTACAACTGAGCTGTCAATGTGTGCTGTCACGGCTTCCCGCCCCCAGAGGCTGCAGCTTGTCTACTTTCCACTCAGAAATGATACAAGCACTGTGGTTACCCTCATTACACAGTGTTTCCTTCCACATCAGTGGGTTCTAGCTTGGCAATATATAGGTTTCTGTGTCTTTTCTAATGTAAGTCATTTCGGACAACAACTCAATGAGCATCCATTTTCAGATGCTCCCATGTTAATCACTGTGGAAGTGTGTGGTAAAAGCAGCTATTAACTTCTTTAGCAGAGGGAAGAAGAGGGACAGGTAAGAGCTGAGCCACTGCAAGGCAGGATGACTTAAGAAAGCAGTTTGATTCTGCACAAGCAAGACACAGCCAGCCGCTTGCAAGACAAGGAGGGTGAATGTTTCTTTAATACTGATTAAATCCTGGTCAGACAGACTTGTCCGCTGTGTTCACTGCAAACTATCTAGCATTTCCTAAAGATAACAAGAGTTTTTACTTCCAATGCAGTCCATTTACAACTTGTTTCAAGTGTGAAATTTTCAAAATATGTTTTCAAAAGCGTGCTATATTTTATAGCCAAAAATGTAAGGTACTAAGGAGATTTTTAAACTGGAAAGGGAAAAGGAGCCAAAAGCTGACCTTTTAAGTGCTAAGTCATTTATTCAGAGGAAGAAGCGGGCACATTTTGAAAATGATGTTATACTGGGCTTTAAAGTAAGAAACAGGAAAAGTTGTTAAGATAGACGTAACTTTTTTTTAAAGCAGTATACTTACTGTCCAGTCCAGGATGGCTGATTGTCATTAATGAGATGGATTTGGTCAATGGAGAAGAAATGGCTGATGTACAGTAATTAAATCTCTGTTGCTTAGATCTGTGATATGTCTATGAAGTAAAAAGGTGAAGAACAGGTGCTAAGTACATGTTCTAGTATTTCTAGATAAGTACAAGCTAGTGGCAGAAAGGGGGGTTCAGCATACACTTGTCGTCAGACAAGACTTGGATTTTAGTCTGCCTCTGCCACTTAACAGCTAGTCAACTTCTGAGAACTCACTCAGCTTTTCCAAACCCTACTTTTGCATCTGAAACAAGGAATCATCCTTTAGAGCGGTTTTATATCCCCCGTTTCAAGCTTAGTCAGTGCTTAGTAAGTATTTTTTGGATCAAATAAAAAATAACTTCATTGGAAATATTGAATCATTTGAAATCCCTCCCCTGCCAAGACATAGTAGTATATAATACTATTCCTCTGAAAAGAGTTGGAAACTGAGGTGCAACTAAAAGTGTCTCAACATCCAAAGTGAAACAGCAGTGCATCTGGAAATCAGCCTAAATCTCCTTCATTTCCTTTCCTAAGATTAGACTGAGTCTACATAAACATGGGGGTGGCTGAAACTTGATAACTCGGTGTCATTCAGAGCAGCTTCAAGGTCCTATGATCAAACCAACTACAGAAATGACTACTAAACATCCCTGAAAATTGGGTCTGGGCATGGTGGGTCACACTTATAATCCCAGGAATTCAAGTGTTAGAAGGAGGATTTGAGAATACACACACACACACACACACACACACACACACACACACACACACACACACACACACACACACACTCACTCAAAATCATGTTTGGGACTAAGAATACCTGAGGAAATTAGAAATGAAGGGGGAGAGCATATTAGTGAACAATACTAAAATATATTGAAACACATTGCATCTGTGAACAGAGGTGATAAAAATAAGCTCACTGAAAGCTGTTGAATACTAGATGGTAAGTGGGTTGGGTAAGTGACAGTAGACCAGGAGGTCAATCTGATCAAAGTTCTGTAGATGCATGTGTGCGAAATTACATGGTAAAAATGAACATTCACCTCAACAAAAATGAATGTTAGGAAGGTAAAGTAAAAACCATGTCCCTTTTGGGATATGGATACTACAAAAAGGGTGAATGGAGAGGGTGAAGGAGGGCAAACAGGGTCAAAATACTTTTTTGTGCAAGTGTGAAAATGTAACAGTGAAGTTTAATGAAATTAGCATGGGACAAGGGAGTTGGGATAAGGAAGAGTAATGGGGTGAACCTGTAATGAAAGTACATTGTAAGATATATGGACATGTCAAAAGGAAACCAACCTCCATGTACAACCAACTGATGCTTAAAAAAAAAAAAAAAGTATGAGACTATATCTAAAAAAACAGACTAAAAGGCAAAAGAGGGCTGGGGGCATGGCTCAAGTGGAAGTAGAATTCAGTCCCTACGAAAGAAAGAAAGAAAGAAAGAAAGAAAGAAAGAAAGAAAGAAAGAAAGAAAGAAAGAAAGAAAGAAAGAAAGAAAGAAAGAAAGAAAGAAAGAAAGAGAAAGAAAGGGAAGAAAGAAAGGGAAGAAAGAAAGGGAAGGAAGGAAGGAAGGAAGGAAGGAAGGAAGGAAGGAAGGAAGGAAGGAAGAGAAAGAGAGAGAGAGAGAGAAAGAAAGAAAGAAAGAAAGAAAGAAAGAAAGAAAGAAAGAAAGAAAGAGAAAGAGAGACAGAGAGAAAGAAAGACAGATAGACAGAAAGAAAGAAAATCCAAACAAAAATTGTTAGACAGTGGAAATAAGGAGGTACCCCTCCTTTGAAAAAGCTTTTTCTAACTGCTAAATTCTCACTAACCCCTTTACCTTATACTAGGAAGAAATGTCTCTTTATGAGTTACACATTTTGAAAGAGAAGCAATGACAAATCTATTACTAGCATGAACTCAATTCAGTTGGTCCAAAGACTTCTTGATTATTTAGAACTTGTTCCTGTGTAACCATGGAATCAGACAAACAGTTGCTATGTTTCAAACACAACTGTGAGATCTGAAAAATGACCTCAGTGTAAGGCAGAGACTTTCAACAGGAAATTGGCTGTAGGCGTCTTGTCTAGATCTGAGAGATACAAGCAGCTCAAATACCCAGTCTAAGGCTAAACACAAAAAGAACCACAGGGACACAGAACTCCAGGAAGCCTATGCACAGCAAGCCTATGACAATATTGACACTTATCTAAAAATGCTGACTTTATCTCGAAAGCTAAACTAGAAAACCCATTTTAGAAAAGTTTCTTAAAGACAGAGTCACGTGTCAAATTTTTGAAAATATCCACCTCAGAAAAGGTATCACACAAACAGTATTACAAAAGCTCAAATGTTCTCATACCCACAACTAAAACCTGTTAACTTTAAAGACATGGAAGAAGCAGGGAACCTCCACAGCCAGGAACTCTGGCTTGAAATTTGATCAATTTAAAGCATTACACCTTTTGATTTTTAAAGGATTCTATACACTTGAGAAATTTATTTCTCAAATTTTCATGGGTTATATTTGTTCTTATCAAAGCTGCACTCAGTGATCATCAAAGTATTTGGGGGGGGGAGGGGGGAAGTGGGGGAGGGTGGACACAGGGCTTTTGCTATGTAGACTAGGATAGCCTGCAACTTGCAATCCTCCTGTTTCTGCTTCAGAGTACTGATTAGGATTACAAGCATGCTCCACCAAGTGGAATATTTGTAATATTATGTAGTGGGCCAAGCAGAATTCAACAACAAGGAGTGGTAAAGTTCTTTCAAGCTTTTAATTTGATTTTCATTAGGCCCAATTTCTTCTTACATAAACATAAAAAATTCACTCATTATTAAAAGAATCCTGTCACATCTTTATTTGGTCACATCATTGCTCTTGTAGTAGGCTGCAATAAAGAAATTTCTGGAGCTCCCAACTCTAGGACCCTTCTATAGAGAGTACCTATACTTTCATTTCCATAAGCTAGCTGCTTTACTATCTAAAAATAAAAATTGCTACACAAAATCCCAGTCATCAAGTCAAAGAATAGTTCTAATTCTTTAAATTAGAAATGTTTGTTTCATTCGATTTTTTCCTGAAACTCCATCTATTCAAATCATCTATTCATATTTTTGTTTAACTGGAAACGCTTCATTTGTAGAAATTAAAAATCATCCCAGAATCCTTTCATAAATGAGTCCAAAACTGCCTGAACCAGGAGGGTGAAAGAGGAATAGGAATGAGTAGGACGCTCATGGAATTCGACTTCTCAACTCAAAAACTCTCCCAGGGTTGTCAAAGGTGGGTCTGAAAAGATAAGAACTAAGAAAAAAAAATCACTTCATTTGACTAAGAAGGAGGTCCTCTGCTTTCAAGACAGGCATTCCAAGAGAGTAGCAGTATAAACTAAGGTGATTAAGTGGTGAGAAAGGAGGCAAGGGAGGCAGGGGGTGTAATGCTCTCTAGAGAACTCTAGTAGGGATAGAAAGCTGAGGGAATCAAGTCACTCCCTTGACATTATGGTTGAGACAAAGCACATTTTTTTTCTAAGAAGGAGAAACCAGGGACATGTTTTTGCAAACTAAAAAACTGAATAATGACTTGCAACACACGTCATATTTCTACAGAGGTGGTAAAAGAAGGCCATGGGTAAGGAGAAATTCAACTGAATGTTCTGGATATATTCCCAATTTTTCTTTGATAGAATATTTAAAATCTTAAATACTAAATACTTGATTTTAGTGGTAACTTGGGCCTATTATTTAATAGGTAAGTAATCATAGCCACTAGCTTTATCCTAACAGAGAAGCCTTCCTTGTCTTCCATGTTCCTAATACATACAAACTCCTACTTTGAGACAAATATTTTTTTTCCAAATGGGCAAAATGCATTCATTTCAGCCTTACCTGCTGATCAAATATCCTATGTTCTCGTTGGTTTGATTCCAGATTCTCTTCGGAAAGTGATACCAGAGAGTCACGCCGCTCCTCAATACCAAAAGGGTGTCTAAGATCTTTGGCGTTGGCAGAGTTTACTTCTAGAGATGAAGATGGCTTGCTCCCAACACCATCTCCTCCTGTCAAGCCTTCCAGACTGAAACTGAACACAGAGCATGGGAGTTGTTAATGCATTCATTCCATTTGTAGGTCTCATCATGGAAGGAGGCACATGCTCTGATATTATGCCTATATCCCCTCTGTCTATAAGGGCACAGTGTAAGTACCACCTACCTTTGCCCCAAAAGCTTTGGAATGCTGAGAAAGAAGAGGGCATGCAGGCTTTCATACCTTGTTCAACTTCTCTAAATGTTGAACTAGCTAAGACTATTTTCTTAGATTTCTTTCCAATATGGTACATGGACAGATCGTATTTATATTACCTTTTATATTCCTCATATATATGTTTTCCATTCATCTAATTAATGTTTGCCAGAATCAACTCAGCAAACATCAAATGCCATAGAAAGAGTATGAGCACAGTAACTTTGAGAAGTCATTTGCATGTGTGTCCACTGTGACTCCATATCTTTACATCTAACCATTTTCTACCTCACTGTCACAACTTTACAGGTCTGCTACCACCCAGAACACTCTATCGTTAGTCTATTATCCTCTGTGCACACCTGGCCAAACAACCACTGTTGACAGGCTTCCTATCACTGCAGGCAGGCACATGAAACACTAATAAATTAAATGCTGAGAGGTGGAGGCATGGCGCAGGGGTAGAGCATCTGCTTAGACTGAGCTCAAACTACAGTACTGCATAAAAGTCCCAAAACAGGGTTTGGAATTTTAATGAGATTTTTTTTTTAATATGGGATTCATCGGGTAAAGATTTTGTGGTCAGCAGAATAAAAACCACTTTTTACAAGCAGGAAGCTACAGAGAAAGGTTAGTTGTCTATTTTCCTTGGGTGGCTAACTAGGATAATTAATGTTTTAGCTACAGTGGTAATGCCTTAAATATAAGCAAGAACTTAGAAATATTTGTAGGTGTCCATGTCCTCAGGAAACAGCTAGAAGCTGAGGTAGTGGTGCAACCCAGTTAACACTAGCTACGTGGTAAACTAAAGATCAGGAGGATCACGGTTCAAGGCCAGCTTGAGCAAGAAAGACAGCCTAACTCAATCGACATGCCAAGAATGGTGTCACACTTCGGAAGCCCAGCTTTGAGGAAGGTGTGGCTAGGAGGATCGGGGTCTGAGGCTGGCCCTGGGCAAAAAAGCAAGACTATCTGAAAAATAACTAAAGTGAAAAAGAGCTCATTGGAATATGGCTGGTGGTATACTAAAGCTATTTAGTTACATTCATTCTGTAAAAAAAAAAAACTGTACAGTTAATTGCTATAATTAAAATCATACATGCCAGCCCAGAAGGGTTGCTATTTAATGTTTTTTGTTTTATAAATTACTTATGAGCTAAAGTCATATGCTTCTATTTTTCTCTATTAGGTAAGTTACACAAAAATTTGTTTTTCTGATTTCAAAATAACAATAGAAGCTATGAATCACTATAATGAAATGTATAAAACTCATATTCAATAGCAGGGATAAGAAGAAAGGGATAAGTAAAGAAAAAAATTAATTTTCTGTTGTGAGCTATTTAAAAAGCTTGAGAAAACCAGATCTATGTTCCCCCTAAAATTCAACCCTAAAAAATGTTTTGGTAATTAAGTCTGGCTGCTTAAGCTGAGGGACCATGAAATGATCATGCAGATCTCTGAAATTGGAAATTTAAGCACAGCGGCAGATTGAATAATGTTACAGAGATCCATGCATCTCTTTGTTTTCTTTTGCTTTTTACTATGTTCAATATGTTTATTTAACTTTCGGTTATTCATTTATTTAACATTTGGTAATAAATCACTTGTGTAACATTCGATGTCAGATGACATCAGTGCATCTTATTAGTTACCTTGCTTCTCTCATTGTTTTTCTAAGAAGCTCTGAATTGGAAAGACTAAAAAGAAAGGAAACTCGGTCTACCATCCCACAGAGGCAAGGAAAGTATCAGCTACTTGAGACAAACGGGTTGCACAGGGCACACTGTGTGGCTTGGGGTTGGTGAAGCCCACAGGCAAGGCAACAGAATACCGTGCTCAGACAAAGCAGCTACCCATAAGCATGCCAGCTCAGAGAAGCCAGCTCCAAGCCAAAAGCCAGATGCCATACTTTATGGTTCCCCGCTTGGTGGCTAGATACATAACCATACTATACCTTCTGTAATTAAAGTCAGCACTCGGGGCAGCAGAATATTGTACACCAGAGGGACACCAGCTCATACTAGATGACATCAAAGGCAGAAACAGAAATGGGGGAAGAAAAGGGGACACAAGTGTGGAGTTATTAAGTTTAAAAGAAAGGACACAGTTAAGAGACAGATTTATTTAATCATTCCCAAACCTTGGATTAATACCGAGAATTCAGAGTAAGAACCATGGAAAACTTAAAACAGTCCTATTGATGGTCTATCTAGATGATGTTTTGGAGAAAAGACTATGGGAGTTCTTGCCAGGCCAACTTAAAGCCCAAGAATTACTGCTAGTAGTCCCTTGGCAGAGACCCATCCCATTGTAGTTTCTGCTTTAGAAATTTTCAGAGAGGTGTTTTAACCCCCACTATTGGGACACTTTAACTTTATCCCTTTACATACATCTCAGCAACCAAATGACCTTGCCACAGTTTCACTAAGTATATACTAGGGTGGGCTTCCTGAATGACCAGTTTTCTGCATTTATTGTCTATCCATTAAGGATCCAATTAAACCAGACAATCTTGAGTCTTAAAATCCTGTAGGATTCTCAATCAAAATTCTGCTACAAATAAAGCATGCAACAACAGCGACATTCCCTTGTATTTTAATGATAAGAATTCCTTCAACTTCTATGGCACTGAGCTAATACATATTTTAAATTGGAAACTTTTTTCATAAGATTAAAACAAATCTATATGATCATCTGGCTCCCTTGATTATCCCAGTATAGTAGCAAAAGAAAATCTGAGAGCTGGAAATAATAAATAGAGCCAGTTTAAAGAACAATATTGATGTAGAAGACTGGGAAGGAATTTAAAATGGAGAATGACAGGGAGATAGACATGAACAGCTTTCCTAAGGACCCAGGAAATGAAAGATGTTCTAAGTCTGCCCTTTCTATTAGCAGCTAACTTCCCTCACAATCCAGAGCATCCCAAGGCCTTAGTTCTTCAGTTGGTAGGCTGGGAGGCGGCTGGGGGGGGGGGGGGGGGCGGGGGAGGTGCTGATATGGACTAGTTCTTTGGCTTTGAAATTTAGTAAGTTCCACATTAAATATATACAGACACAGACAGACAGACAGACAGACACACACACACACACACACACACACACTTATTCCTACTTTAATACTTGTTAGAATGTTTCAATTTTACAATTTTTTTGGGGTCAGTTGTGGGGCTTGAACATAGGTCCTGGACACTATGCCTGGGTTCTTTTACTCAATGCTAGTGCTCTACCACTTGAGCCACAGCTCTACTTCCTGTTTTCTGGTGGTTCGTTGGAGATAAGAGTCTCACAGACTTTCCTGCCTGGACTGGCTCTGAACTGTGATCCTCAGATTTCAGCCTCCTGAGTAGCCAGGATTATAAAGGTGAACTACCAGCGCCTAGCTTACAAACTGTTAAATTATATATTATGGCTTTTCTACAAGAAATGTTTCACTCATCTTAAATTTAACTAGAATTGTTTATTACACTTGTATATATACACTAACTTGGAATGAATCCAGCAACTTATCCCCAAGTGCAAGCTTTTAGTAAATTCATAACACAGAAACACTGTCAAATGTATCTTCAAAGGCTTTAGAGACCTTCTACTGAAAGAGGCATTTAATAACATGTTCTCCTTAACTGAAGTCACTATCATATGAGATTCATGAGATTATCTGAATATAAGCTCAATTTTGGCCTAAAATAAAGCCTAAAAGGAAGTATCCACTTGAGGAAGATGAAGCAGAAAGATAAAAGATCACTCCCTGCTTGCTTCTGTATAAGATTCAGCTAATGGATACAAATACTTCACCGCAAAGGTCTCTTACTATGAGAAATATTGAATAGTAATAGAAGTATACTTTTTGGATTGTTGAATGTTTTTAAGTAAATGTAATGCATAAATACTTCACTAGTGGCTTCTCAACAATAAAATATAACCTACATTTGGAAAGTGTGAAGCAAATGGATATTGTTGGACTAGAAATAAGCCTACCAGCTTATAAATCACTGGTTTTTAGCTTCAACTTTTTAAACTAACAAATGATTAATTCAAAGCCTGAGATCAGCTCATACTTCTTAATTGTTTTGTGAAGTGACTCTTTCAATCATGGAACCTAAGGGTATGAGGAATGGCTCAAGTGGTAGAGAGCTTGCCTGGTACGCATGAGGCCTTGAGTTCAAACCCCAGGACTAAAACAAAACCCCAACAACAAAAAATGAGAGAATAGAAACTGCCAGGTGGCCTAGTTAATAATACCTTCTATCCTATTGAAAATATTTTAGAACCTTTGTAATTCTATTTCTTATTTTCAAGAGGAGGGAACAGAAAGAGGAAGGGAGGAAAACAAGAGTGGGAGACAGTGTGAATGGACAGTAGGGAAGGGAGATAAGGGGAGGGAGAAAAAGAAGGGAGGGAGGTTGGTTTCCAGGGTCTCTTACATAGGTACAACATGGAAAATGTTTCAAATTCTCCTAGATAAAAAGTTGGGGGAGAGGCTATTATCAAAGTAATCTGAACAAATAAATACTAGAAAAAATATTTTTTAAAATTTAAAAGATAAAATAAAAAGCTTTAAAGAAACTTATTTCTTCTGGAATGGGCATAATGACAAGCAATTAACAAGCACCTATATTTTGTTAGCCTGAACAAGAAACGACATTATTTGAAATTAGATTGTCCAACTGTAGTAAGCAGAAGATGATTGTTAGTATATGCTCAAAGGCAACGTGTTAGTCCATGGATTTAGTGAACTCTGTACCTTCTTCTATGAATGGGAGGTCTCCTGACCACATCCCCAAGAACTCGCATTGAACTGAAAATGAATGGTGGAAGAGGTCAGTGAGGTCAGTGAGACAAAATGGGCTATAAATGCATGACATATATAGATACCTCAATGGAGAAGACATGATCCCTACAGACAAACAGCACAGGAGGAGAGAGGTTGAAGAAATGTGAAATGACAAAAGCAATCAGAACTGAAAGGACCTCTGTGGAGGACTACTTCCATCCCTTCTTGCTCCAAAGAGTTCATCTAATGACCAAGCTGTGAAGTGTATTAACTTTGTAACTTAATAGGATTAGGAAAAAAGTGCCATTCAAAATTTTAAAAGGTTTTCCTTTTGGGTTACACAATACACAAGTAACACAAGAATGGTCATACTATTAAAGTGATAACTGAAACTTAACTCTTACTCTATGCTATAAAGAGGTATTGAGATAGTGGTACTAGGTACTTATCAACTCTATGGTCAACCATGATCTGTGACATACAGGATGAAGCGTAATAGGGTTCTAGTCTCCAATCATGATTGTCTATAATCTTTGCAAATCATTTTTATCTGAGCTACATACAGCTCTGAATTCAAAATCATAACAAAGGGGTCCACAGCAGTGACAGAGAAAAATGGGTTGAGTTGTGGCTCAAGAGGTAGAGTGCCAGCCAAAAGGCAGAGTGAGCATGACCCTTACCTCAAGCCACCAAAAGAAAAATAAGTTAACACATAAAATAAACCCTCCTTCTCTCAAGCTGTTTGCTATTCACTATCTAAAATTAGGGTGACCTATCCAGAAGTTTCCCTTACTCAGGAAGGGAATTCTGATCATGTCTATTTCCCTTTTTTGTCAGTCATGCTTAAACCCAGGGCCTTGGTGTTGTCTCTGGGCTTTTTCACTCAAGGCTCTACCACTTTGAGCCACAGCTCCACTTCTGGTTTTCTGGTGGTTCATTGGAGATAACAGTCTCACAGACTTTCCAGCCTAGGCTGGCTCTGAACCACAATAGCTAGGATTACAGGTGTGAGTCACCAGTGCCTGGCTCATCTATTTCCAATTATTGTGACTGCTTAAAAAAAAAACAAAACAGCAACAGGGCTGGGAAGTGCTTGCCTCGCATGAATGAGGCCCTGGGTTCAATTCCTCAGTACCACACAAGCAGAAAAAGTTGGTAGTGGCACTGTGGCTCAAGTGGTAGAGCTCTCGCCTTGAGCTGAAGAACTGAGGGACAGCGCCCAGGCCTAGAGTTCATACCCCACAACCGACGACAAAAAAAAGTACATTTAAAACTGGGACAAAAACCCTTTAGGACTTGAGTTCCATATAACCTAGGATTTCAAATGTCTATAAAACAACATGGCAAGTAATACTGCTTTAAAAGAACAACAACCAACCAAAAAAACTATGTTACAGAATGATACAGGGTTGTAGGAAGAGAATTTGACTAAGACCAGAAACCTGGATTCTACTGACCTTGAATAATGTAAATTATTTGCACCAGTCTTATAATGTGTCAAAAATGAGTCTGAAAAAATTAGCAAATTAGGAGAGTATAGGGTAGTACTGTGAGCTAGCTCCATGAAGACAGGACATGTCTTGTTTATCTCTATCTCCAGAACTTAGAACAGTGCCAAGCACTGGGTATACTCTGGCTGATTAAAAGAATACAGGAGTGAGCTGGCTGATTAAAAGAATACATGAGTGAGCAAATCTGACTAGATCACACATTCTCCTAGCTGCATCTCCTTATGAAAGCAGCTCTGGAATAAGTATACCATCCAGGATATCTACAGGGCTGAGAACCACTAGTTCTTTATAGTTAAAACTACCTGCTTTAAGTTCATCTGGGCAGTCAATGGTCAGAAACAAAATTCAACTCCTGCTACCAAAATGAAGGCTTAAGGCTGGATCGTACTTGTAAAAGACTGTAGGACACTTGAGAAAATACCAACATTTTTGTGGTCCCTTGTGAGTCTTCTGCTCTCTTGAGAAATAAACATCAACAATTTAGACTTATCAAAACTTTCTGCAGTAGAAACACTTTACTTCTTAAGACACACTTTGAATACTTAGATGTGTTAAGAATGTTCTGGCAGGAGTAAATATTACCATGTGTTAAATACTACTTAACGGTCATACTATATTATTACAAATGTACTGACAGGCAAGAATTTGCAGATGGGAAAATTAAGTTCAGGGTGATCAAGTGACTTACCCAAAGCCTATGCTATTTATGCAAGTTACAGAGTTGGAGTCTGAATAGAGTTTGTTCTAATTTCAAGGCCTGTATTATTTCTTCTCTTAAACTCTTTTGACCAGAAACAGTACCAAGTGAGAAATATCTCAAAAGCAGGCGCAGAGACATGAAATGAATGGACTCCCGGCTCACCTGCGCTGGTTCATTTCTGCATCGCTGGCAGCGTTCTTCCCAGGACCCCAGCTGTGCCTCCGGAACGGGGACAGGGAGCGCATGGAGCTCCTCAGGATGGAGCAGTTGGCAGGCACTTCTGTGATGCTGTCCATCTCCTCCTCTTCCACGTCACCTGAGCCCGTAGGCTCACTCTCACTCTCTCGACCCTCCATTCCCATCCCAGGGCTGTAGAAGCCATTGGGGCTTTGATGATCTCTGGGCTTGTTGAGCTTTGAGGCTGGAGGGAGGGACCCATCACTGCCATGAGAAGAGTGTTGATCCAGGGAAGCTGTATCATCCGTGGAAGAACTGGACCCCATGATATCACAAACCAACTGCTCTTCCTCAGGCTGCAATGGGAGAAAGCACATCTGGTTGAAACTGCAGGTGCAAGCAGATACCCTCAATTATTCCAGACCAAGTCAAGTGGGTCTAAGAAGACCAAGGGCAATAACTGAATTCAAGCACAGATTCAAACCACCCCTTTGGCCTCTAGTACAGTACTCAAGGATTGACAACTGTCTGTTAACTTATTGGAGGTGCTAATTTAGAAAGCACATCATATTTTCCTTCTAGGGGAAAAAGTTCTTAGGATAATTCAGCCCATACCATCAACTGAAACAAAGGGAGCCATGATTAGTCTGGGGGGAAGAAAAGTGGGGGAGGGGAATCTACCATATAGAACCATAAATTCCTGCTATGTTAAGTTCAATCTTTTGAAAAGTTTTAACTGAAACAAAGTAGCCTATATTAAGTACAAATATGATGTAGTGAACCTAATAGTCCCAAAACAAACACATGGCTGTTTTTAAGCACCCTTTTGAAAAATGCTCAATAACTTATAATCCTATCTAAACTCTGCCAGTTTCTAAATGGGGAAAAGCTAGCATTTCTCAATTCACTGGGAAATATTTGTATTACAGGGACAAAGCCTACGGAAACAATCTGGTAATGAGGTTTTCCATAAAGTAACAATGCTTCTTCTCTGACCAACCTGTAAAACCTAATAAGAACTCTGGTACTAGTAGCTTGACACCAAGCACACACAATATGATGATTGAGAAAAAGATGAACATCACAGCACACAAGACCAAAATACTAAAAGAAGTCAAAGTACCTAGGAGACAGGTGAGCACACAGGGTCACTGCCCTATTGTACACTCTTACAGGTTGGGGAGCAGAGAATGGGGAAGGGACACTGCCATCTTTCTTTTTTCACTACTAACTCATGGTTAGCCAGGTGACTCAATGTTTTACTATGGGTTCTAGGAGAAAATATAAAGAGAGAGAGAGAGACAGAGAGACAGAGAGACAGAGAGAACCATGGAGTCATTTCAAAGTTGGAATGGGAATCAAGCCCTTTATTTGGAAAGGTTATTTGTTTGCTTACATTGGTTTGTTCTGTTTTGACAGTACTGGGGACTGAACTCAGGGCAGCCTTGAACTTTTAGGAAGGATGCTGCTCTGCCACTTGAGCCACACCTCCAGCACCTTTTTGTCTTGGCTATTTTGAAAGTGGGATCTGCCTTATGCCCAGCCAGATTACACTGTGACTCTCCTAATTGTGTTTCTCTGTGTTTCTGAGGATAGCAGGTGCTAGCCACTGCACCCAGCCATTATGTGTCTCCCATAGCTAAGATGACAGGCGCACGCCACTGCGCCTAGCCATTGGTTAAAGTGGAATCTCCCCAACTTCTTTTTTTGCTTGGCTAGCTTCAAACTGTAATTACCCCATCTCTGCCCTCAAGTAGCTAGGATTACAGGTTTGCACCACCAAGCTCAGCTTTGTGCCTGATCGCACCAGCTATTTTCTAACATTTTTTTCCCACTCTAAAGATTTCACTTTCTTAGATTAGCTCCTGTTTGAATGATATGTAGGATGAGACCAAGTGGGAAAAGGAGATTATAATGTAGGCCAGAAAACAGAGACTCAGATTGTCTAATGGAGTCTTCCCAAGTGCGCAAGCTGTGAGTAACAGAATCAGGGTTGGAATCAGAGCTGATTTTAACTCAAACAAACCTTCCTGTCAGCTCCATCATTTCTAAAATCACTTGTAAGATGTCAAAGTCATCAGAAAGCCCCTTCACCAGACAGCCTGCAAAATAAAACTGTGCTTGACCAAATAAATTCTGAAAAGTGGTATTACCTTTAAATGAAATTACTGACTGTCCTTTTTATGTCACCAAAGGACTGAAACAGCCATCCTAAAAGATTCCTATTCAAGGTGCTCCCCTCTCCAGAAGGAAAATGTCAATAGTCAAAAACAAAACTTTGGAGGGGAATTCTACAGTGTCTTAGCTTTCTCACACTACTTACTGAGTCAAAGTCCTCTCCTTAAAATAGGTGTCCCTCTCAGAAGGAGACCTTATTTGAAAATAAGTCTTTGTAGATGTAATTGATTAAGGTGAGGTCATGGGCCTAGACCAAACATGAGTGGGTCTCCTTGTAAGAGAAGTGAAACAAAAGACAGAGATTCTCAAGCAAACATCATGTGACAAGTAAAACAGAGAGTTGGTCAACCCAGGCAATGCCAAGGAGTGTAACAAGCACCAGAAACCAGCAGGGAAGCCAACACTGGCAAAATATGGACCCTTAAATTTCATTCATTTATTCGTCAAACACTTATTATTTATATTACACAAGGTGTTCTGTGTGTCTTGGGAAACTGCTCTCATTTTAAGACCCTAACATATACCACAATCATTGAATCCAATCTGGGCAAGAGTTTATGTAAGAAGCTGAAGGATCTGAGCAGAGTGGCCTACAGTGTGTCAACTTTTTCTTACCACTTCTTCTCTTAGTGAGTGCTCCACTTTAAAAAGCGTTAATTTTATAGTGCTGATCTAAGGAAAAGAAATACCTTAGAAAATATTCTTAAGGATAAAGACGATGCTCATGACAGCCACTGTAGAGTGACATTTTACCAGAAGGAGTATAAACAGAAAGACAAGACAAAGGGGAAAAGTTCATGAAAAACAGCTGTTGTTTAAAAAAAATAAAAAATCCCATGTAAGGCTAAAGTTAAACAAATGTCTGCAGGAAGTGACCTAATGCACCACTGGCGGTTCACAGAAAGGGATGTTACAAGGGCTTGCCCGCCAGTTATTACTATTAATATTATTTTTAGAGAATGGGGGGGAGAGGGAAGAAAGTGGAACACTCTGGTACTGTGCAGCACATGCTTATATGGATGACGTATGCAGAAGACTTTTAAGAAAGCAGCTGATGGCCTATCCACCAATACTGTGCTTCAATACAAATTACTGGCTTTTGGAGGAGCTTGTGAGAGATCAAGAAGAAACAAAACCTGGATGGATTTTAAAGTCAAGCCAAGGTGCAAATCTCTTTACTTGGTGCTAGTAATTTTTACTGGTAACAACATCTACTACCATCAAGGATATCAGTTCACCTGTCAGGGTTCCAAGACTATGAGATGAGATTTAGCATATAAGGAACTTATTGTAGTACCTTGTGTGTATTATATACTCTGCCAATATTAGTCTTGTTTCTTTTTTTCTTTCCAAAGTAGCAAGTCCATAGGTTTTCTTTTTCTTTTCTTTTTTCTTTTCTTTTCTTAATATTTGAGAAAACATTTATTGCAGAGCCCCTTTACCACCAACCACTTTGGTAGAATGCACATATACAAAGGGCAGATGCCATTTATTCTTCCTTCTACATGCATGAATGGGTGAAAGTGCCTGGATTGCCCTCCTGTATGAAATGTAGGTACAGGTTTATGTGGCATGTGCATCAGCTTAAAAAAAAAAAATCTGTCAAATCCTCCTTGGGGAAAATGTGTCAGAATATGACAAACAGCTATTTATAAGAATAATCTCCTGAATGCCTTTGGTAGCTTGAGTAAGAAACTAAAATACAGAAAATTTTGTTTTTTCTTAGGTAGACAAACCTTTCAATTAGTGACCAGAAAAAAATTATTAGTTTGTAAAAGACAGTTAACGCCTAGGGACCAGCTGTCATATACCTCAGAAGGAAGCAAACAAGGGTTTTCTTTACAAGGATGATTTTTTTAATGTCGTTATGATTTTCAAACATAAATAAATGTTTGGGGCTGGGAAGGTGGCTCAGTGGTAGAGTGCTTGCCTTGCATGCCTGAGGCCCTGGGTTCGATTCCTCAGCACCACATAAGCAAAAAGAAAAAAGCCGGAAGTGGCGCTGTGGCTCAAGTGGTAGAGCGCTAGCCTTGAGCTGAAGAGCTGAAGGATAGTGCCCAGTCCCAGAGTTCAGGCCCCACGACTGGACCCAAAAAAAAAGAAAGAAGAAAAACATAAATAAATGTTTAATAACTCTCCAGGTACCCATGGCCCATTATAAAGAACCCTCTTAAATTTCACTTCATAGAATCCCAAGTCACAGAACAACCTGGGCAACTATGAAGACAAAGAACAAGATGCAGGGAGAAGATGAGGGCCCAAGAAGGTACACATGGTTCACGCACAGAGGCTTCAGTGTTCCAGACCACATTTCCACAACCGCATGCCATCATTCCTACACCATACGTTCTAAACACTGGGTCATCACAGTCCCTTGAACAACTTAATCACCCACTAACATAACTGCTCTCACCACTTCTTCAATGTCGTCAGAGAATCCAAAGGAACAGTCTTCACGGCTGCCGCAATGTCTCTGCCCCTTCAACCCCTTACTATTAAGAAAACCACTTGTGGCACATAATTGAGTACAATCCACACTCTCGCCTGTGGGAAAGCCCTCTATTCATCTTAGAAGACAAAACAGAACTAGAAACACACAAAGCCAAAGGAAGCCAAGGTCCCTGTCCTCTACTCCCTTTGCCTCAAATTATATGGATGCACGAGCCGATTCATGTGAATGGGCTTTCACTCAGGAGAAAGCTTGGGTTCCCAAGCAGAGATCTAGAAAGGCCCAATTAAGCAGGTTGGATGAAAAGCAATGATATCACCAGGCTCAGCAGTGAGCTTCAGGCCTCAACACATTAATCAGAAATGACTCTCTGGTTAGTTTATACACATGACATCATTGAGTCTGAGCTGTGGTCTCTTCCTGCCCACTGAAGTGTTTCACTGTCATCTGACTTAAAGGAACTTCATTCTAAAGGAACTTCCATGACTTAAAACTTCAATGGAAGCTCGAAAACTTCAGTATTTTGCAGAACTTAAACTTCGTGATTTTGTAGAAAACAGATTTTGCCAATGCCTTTTGTCTGAGCCCTAGCAATCTGTCGTTTCCTTCTTTGTAAGTTAATACTTACACACTCCTGATTGCAAGTGCAAGCTATATAGCTAGCTAGACCATCCTTAAAGAAGCATGGATGAGGGGAAACAATTTGTCTTGGGAAAAGAGTTGAGGGATGCCAACTGTGTAGATGACAGACACGGGAGAAAAATAAAGGAAGGCACCGGCAAACCTTTGAGAAGATGATGCTGTCCATCTCATCACTGGGCGAATGGAAGAGGTCAGGGTCACTCTCAGATTCTCTTTGAAGTACAGCTTGTTTTGAAGCACACTCCCCGCCCAGCCCGACAGCCAAGAAGTTCTCACACTCTGAGAAAGAAAATGTATTCAATCAACACTTTTTTAAAAGTTCACTTTCCTTTCACACAAGGTACTAGTACTTTTCTCTCTACTGCTTTTTGTCCTTTCTCCCCCTTTCTTTCTCTCTTTCTCGCTCTCTTAGTCTCTCATCGGTTGTGGGACTTGAACTCTGGGCCTGGGCACTGTCCCTGAACTCTTCAGCTCAAGGCAACCACTCTACCACTGAGCCACAGCACCACTTTCCGGTTTTCTGGTGCTTCATTGGAGATAAGAGTCTCACAGACTTTCTGGGCTGGCTTTGCAGCTCAATTCTTAGATCTCAGCTTCCTGAGTAGCTAGGCTACAGGAGTGAGCCACCAGCCCTCGGCTCTCTCTCTTTTTAAAAACATAAAGAAACTAGAAAGAACACAGTCAAATTAGAGGGTTTCAGATCTGCTACTTCAATAAGATAATCATGAGCTTGTAGTGTAGAGAAAGATAAAATGATGATTCAGAACTATATTCTATCTAAATGGAAATGTTTTCTTTCTGATAATTACAGCTTGTCTTTTGTTTTGAAAATCTGAAGTCCATTAGGAAATTATGAAATGCGATTTGTGGGCCAATTTCTGTTCTGAGATTATAGTTGTTTCTAGAAACATTACTTTTTTAAATTAGCGATACAAAGATCAAAGTGGCACAATCACAAAAATTAGTGATATTAAGTAGTAGATAAATCAATACATCAAGTGCATTAAATGTACAGATTCTGGGGCTGGGAAGGTGGCTCAATGGTAGAGTGCTTGCTTTGTATGCATGAGGCCCTGGGTTCGATTCCTTAGCACCACATAAGCAAAAGGAAAAAAAAAGCTGGAAGTGGTGCTGTGGCTCAAGTGGTAGAGTGCTAGCCTTGAGCTGAAGAGCTGAGGGACAGCGCCCACGCCCAGAGTTCAGGTCCCACAACCGACAACAACAACAAAAAAAAGTACAGATTCTACTGAGTAATGAAGGAAACTGTTAACTTTTCTTCCCTAAATAGATCTTACACTGGGAAAGTAATGTACCATAGTAGAAAAATGCATCATCTGAATTTGGCAACGTTTGGAAATATCCTTAAACAAAAAGAGATGCTCAGTGTGTGCTCTATGTGTATGTGTATGATTTACAATCCTGTGGTTGAAATGAACATATTAGGAAATAATGTCATCATAGAATCACACACAGAATGACACAGGAAATTAGGCAGGACCTATAGATTAATCTGAAGACCCTCCAGTTAAAAAGAAAAAAAAAAAACACCATAGTTAATAGGCAACTATTAGTTCAATGGGAACAGTCTTGCCTTTCAAAGATGGAAAGGAAATGTATGGGTATTCTGGATGGTCTTTTTCCTCCCATACTGCATAAAGTGATTATTAACTAGGTGGAGTTGGTAGATTTGTGATCTTTCTATTCTTTCCCCTTTCCTCCTTGGAAAAATCAAAAGCTCCATTCTGTGACAGAGAGGAAAACCAGTGGGGCTAGCCAAGAACAGAAAGGGCTGTCACAGCAACCGCCTAGCGGTAAGCCGTCCAGCTGGCAGCCTACATCCAATTCCAAGCTCAAGCTATTCTCACAGACTCAGCTATGATAGAAAAATCTCATCCCAAAAGTAAATCTAAACCAGCACAAGGGACCACAAAGGAGTCTGGAATAAGAGATCATATCGTGCAGACGATATTGACTGTTGGACTAGTATACCACCACACCTACATTTTTAGGCCTCATTAACTTTTGCCTGGGCTAGCCTCAAACAGGGACTCTCCTATCTCTACCTCCTGAGTAGCTAAGGATTACAGGCATAAGCCTTTACTGCTAGGTCTCACTTGTTAGGACAAAGATCCTAGGCCAAGAAGTAATTTAATCCTGTGTAGGTCTCCATTTCCCTATGACAAAGAAGGGATGATTAGTAACCTCCCAAAGATTTGTACTGACAATCAGAAATACTTTGTTATATACAGGAACCAGAACTCTGTTCCTCAGCATATAACAGGTATGTGATACATGTGCCTAATGAAGTTGGGCTTTATTCATCTTTAATGTATGATTCTTTAAAAATGCGGAGGAGAAGCCAGGTGCTGGTGGCTCATGCCTGTAATCCTACTCAGGAGGCTGAGATCTGAGGATTGCGGCTCAAAGCCAGCCCAGGCAGGAAAGTCCATGAGACTCTTATCTCTAATAAACCACCAGAAAACCAGAAGTGGTGCTGTGGCTCAAGTGGTAGAGCACTGGCCTTGAGCTGAAGAGCTGAGGGACAGTGCCCAGATCCAGAGTTCAAGCCTCACAACTGACCAAAAAAAAAAAAAAAAAGTGGAGGACAGTAACCTGAAAGCAGGTACTGATGAGGATATGGCCTGCATAGAAATCTGCCTGTCATTTTTGTGTACTGAGCCATTAGCACTTTAAAAGCTAATAGAAGTCATTTTTGAAGATGCACTCTAGTGATCTGCATTTAGAGTTAGAATAGTTATTTACCAAATAATGATATTTAGTCCTTAATATGCACGCATGTATGTATATAATTTTGCCAGATTAAAAAACTTGTACTTGTACCATATGAACAGAATACATTATCTTTACAGGTGACTAAAAAATCATAAAGCCACATATATAACTCCTCTGTATAACAATTAAAGATAATAAGAAAATTAAAAGCCACATATGACATCTTTTACTACTAAAGTAAAATGGAAGAAACTACTCTTGTGCTTAATGCAGATCATATCTATCCCTTCCTCTGATTCCTGTGTTGTATGTTTCAGAAGGAAAGATCTCCAAATCAAAACATCAGTTTGTTTTGTTTTTTTTTTTTTTATCAGACATGGGGCCTGAACTCGGCCTGGGCACTGTTCCTCAGCTCTTCAGCTCAAGGCTAGTGCTCTACCACTTGAGCCACAGTGCCACTTCCGACTTTTTCTGCTTATGTGGTGCTGAGGAATTGAACCCAAAGCCTCATGCATGCAAGGCAACCTACTCTACCACTGAGCCACCTTCCCAGCTCCTCAAAATATCAGTTTTTACAGATGCATTGTGGCTCTAGATCCAGTAAATCAGAAAATGAAAGGAAAAAAAAATCTCTGTTTACCTGTGCTCTGTTTGGAAGCCAAGAGTGATGCTGCACCAGGACATGGCTCTATGGAACACCAACTTTCTCGATTTATCTAGAAAAAATAAAAATTACTTTAGACAGTGAAATAATGTTGTTGAGTCTGAAATTATGCACCTCCTCCTTTTTCTTCAAAACTTCAGAGCTCTCTGAGAAGACTGTCAATACACAATAGGAAAAGATATGCACTCATGGTGCAGGGCAGAGGTAAAGTAAAAAAGTTAATATATGAAAATAATCAAATATTAAGACACATATCTGATGTCCTCGTTTGCAAGTTAAAATATATTATTGTGAAACAGGTTTCTCTAACAGTAAAAACCAAGCAACAGGACTATCTAGACTATCTAGACTAGAACTATCTAAACTGAGAGAATATTATTAAAATGCAGTATCTCTTAATAACTAATTTAATAATCATTATCTTCAGTGGTTCTAGAAGAAAATTAAAAGTGGCTAGAACTCTAAGGGGTATAACCACAATCCTTTAGAAGACTCATTAAAAAAAAAAAATCTGAGGCCAAAGGAAGCAAAATGACTGGATGAAAGAAGTAGTTAAATAAGATTCAAAAAGAAAGTCTATGCCTTGTGTGCATGAGGCCCTCGGTTCAATTCCTCAGCACCACATAAGCAAAAAAGAAAAAAGCCGGAAGTGGCGCTGTGGCTCAAGTGGTAGAGCGCTAGCCTTGAGCTGAAGAACTGAGGGACAGCGCCCAGGCCCAGGCCCAGGCCCAGAATTCAGGCCCCACAACCAGATCCCACCCCCCCCAAAAAAAAGTCTACCAAAATATACATATCTCTTACAGAAGGCTAAACAAGATTATGGAGTCTTGAGAGAAAGTCTTGAGACTTTCAATCTAGGTCCACTTGTTTTGAGGTAACAGGTCAAAAAAAGGTATGGGAGAACCAAGACAGAGCATACACAGAGAAGCCATGCCTGTGATGGCATTCATGGTAGATAGCACATATTTGTGAATATAAATAGCTTAGAAACTCATACCTGCTGGCTTACAGATGCAGCACAGAAGTATGTGTTAGGGAAATGCAAATAAAAACTACCATGAGCCATCACTTCAAACCTATTAAGGATTTTTTGTTTGTTTGTTTTTGGTCATGGGGCTTGAACTCAGGTCCTGGGTGCCGTCCCTGTGATTTTTTACTCAAGGCTCTACCACTTTGAGCCACGGCACTACTTCCTGATTTTTGGTGGTTAATGGGAGATAAGAGTCTCAAGGACTTTCCTTCCCAGGCTGGCTTCAAACTGTGATCCTCAGATCTCAGCCTCCTGAGAGTTAGGATTACAGGTGTGAGCCACTGGTGCACAGCTGGTTATCATTCTCTTTAAATGTGGAAATAACATTTCCCAGTGAGAATGAAGAGAAGTGGGAACCCTTATGTAATGTTCATAGGAATGTAAAATGATACCAGCTATGTGGGAAAAAACAGCATCTGTTTCTCAAGAATTAAGTATACAATTACCCTGTAATTCAGCAATCCTGCTTCTGAGAATACACCCACAGATAAAAAGTCATAGCACTATACACAGCAGTCAATAGTTATAACAGCCCAAAGGTTGGTTGATAGATGAGTGGATAAGTAAAAAAATGGTATATGCTTAAGATGGAGTATTTTTTAGCTTGACACATGCTATGACTTAGATGGGCTTTGAAGATAATAAGCTACAAAAGACAATCACACACACACACACACAAAAAGCTATACAATTATGGCTCCACTGTATGAGACTCCTAGATTGTCAAAAATCAGACAAAAAAAAAAATGGTGATTTCCAAGAGGCTAAGAGGAGGGAGAGAAATGGGGAATTATTGTTTAACAGGTGCAGATCTTCAGTTTGGGCCTGTGGCAAGGATATGGAGAAGGCTGTTGGTGATAGTTACACAAGGATACAAAGGTACTTTGTTCCACTCAACTGCATACTTAAAAATGGTTTAAAGGCTGAACTATATACATTTTATCGCAATTTTAAAGGGTATGCAGCAGTTCCAGATATGCAAACTTGTCTGAAAAAAGTTATGATGCTGCCCACAAAGCCAAAGTCAGAGCTAGTAACCTCAGCCAGTTGCTACCAGTCCTAGCCAGTGCCATTAGCCACGGAACAAATCTCAATGCTGCAATGCGTACAGAAAGAATGTCAAAACATGTATCAGCATTTTCAACCACATCCTGTGTAATAGCAACACCAAGCCATCATGTTCATGTGTGGAGAATACTGAGCTTGCTGTTTAAGTAGGCTGCTTCAGAGATACAAACTGGATGAAAAAAAAATCTCCCTTCTGAATCTACGCTAGCCTCCTTTCTTTTCATCAAGGATACCTGTCTCTGTCTCACTCACAGACCACCAACATGCCTTCCATACCACACTATGATGTGCCACTGGAAACATTTTCCCATAGGCTACACACAGTGCGCACACACAGTAACACATCTGAATCCTATCCAACATGCAAGTAAAAGAAAGCAGGTAGTCCGGTTAGAAGAATGCTTATTCTCAAGCAAGTGTCCCGAAATACAATCCTAAGGCAGAGGAGTTTACCGATAAGCTGGTTAGGTATGCTGTCAATACTGCTAGGCAGTTCTGAAGCCAGACTGGGCATGAGATTCTGATTTTATCAGAAATGTGAAACTGCTAATAATTAGAGGTTCAGAGAAAAATGAAGATGAAGGTTATGAGCCCCTTATTCAGACCTTTCCCTTAGGAATCACCGAGCTATGAATAAAATATAGGACTGGATACTTACTGGGTAGGAAAGGTAGATTCTAACCTAGTATTTAGAATTATTATTATTTCAGCAAGTAGTTGGAAATGTAGAAATCAAGGGCCAGGAGCTTGGCTTAGTGATAGAAAACATACCTACATCATTTGGAAAGGGATTAAGTCACAAAAATACACTAGTGATTATTTAGCTAAAAAACAAACATTATTAGTCACTTTCCTTTGTCCACAGACTGGTCATGAAAACTAGCTCACTGGCACCACAGGAACTCAACATCCAGAGTTCTGATGAGTTACAATGTGTACAGACATGGTGTGATGAAAGTGACCTCAGAAGAAACATCAGACCCATCCAGGTGACTTTTCAACGTTTCATTCCTGCCATCAAGCCTAAAACCTGTTGTGATAATTGAAACCATGCCTTCCATGTGTTCCCCACAGTCTGAAAACAGTGGTACGTATTTTCCTTCTTTTGTTACTGGCAGTGCTGCTGCTACTACTTATGTCTGAACAAACAACCTAATAACAGCTGGCGGTGACACCAAGCCTTCTCAGCCACTGCCAATACTCACTTCCTCTGCCAGTGTCTCAGGAGACAAAGCCCACACTGCAAGACTCAACAAAAGGAAGGGAAAACCCACCATCCAGACATGAAAACCAACTGAGTCACTCTGGTCAGGGAATCACACTATAACTCAGCAGATAAGCACTGGTGGCATCAATCTTTAGCCCCCCAGTGTCTTTCTTTTGCTGCAATGTGGAGGTGAACTTTTAAAAGGTTTATTTCTCAGAGAAATAATACTAGGCTTTGTACGGACACACTATACATCTGAACTTTAGCTAATGTGGTCACATGGCCTCACTTTCTGTAAATACACCCATTCAACACACACAAAACTCTGCAGCTCTTTTTAAATATTTTAACATTATGGTTTTTTGGTGGCGTTTGTTTGTGTTTGTTTTTGTTTTGTTTTGTCCAGTCCTAGGGCTTGAATTCAGGGCCTGGGCACTGTCTGTGTTTCTTTTTGCTCAAGACGAGCAGTCTTGAGCCACAGCACTGCTCCTGGTTTTTTCTGTTTATGTGGTACTGAGGAATCAAACCCAGGACTTCATGCATGCTAGGCAAGCACTCTACCACTAAGCCACATTCCCAGCTCTGAGTTAACATTCTGAATTAACCAGATACAAAAAAAAAGAAAAGAAAAAATGCCCCCAATAAATTATCAATAACATTAAGAATCATGTCAATACTACTAGACAGCTTGTTTTCCCCAGGTACCCAAACTGGTAAAATTAATAAAACAGAAGTGGTCCCTAGCTAAAGCCAATATAAATCAACAGTTAGTCCTCAATTAACAAATTCCAGCACACATTTTTGACACCATTCCTTTTGGTATACTAGTTCTGTGATAAGTTTCTGATAGTTGCTATTCTCTAGGAATTCCAATCCTTGGCTATCAGAAGCTTTTTATTTTTTTCTTCAGGGAAACTGATTATTCATTATAAATGTAACTGTACATAGAGAAATTATTTAAATATAATTACAATTAGAATATGATTATGTTTAGCAATACTTAAATGCAAAAGAGTTTCATTAAATACAAGTCTGTAACGAAGGTTAGTAAACACTTTTCCTAAAGCTTTCAATTTCTTTATACCAGAAGCTCTTACCAATCACCAACAGGAAATGAACACAGCTTTCTGAGGGACATTGGAAAAATTAGGGTGCAGGTACTAAAGGTCCCTGGCAACAACTAAATTCTTCCATATCCATTTTTAGCCTATGATTCATAGCTACCAAGCACTTATCAGAAGAACCAGAAGCCATGTAAACATCAGGAAAGAGAAAGCAAGGGAATGTCATATCCAGGGGTGTGTGTATATGTGTGTTGCAGGTTTTATCATTTGTAAAATAGTATAAGAAGATAATATGTTGAAAGATTGGGAGTCAATGGCATAACAGCTGATCTGTGGATAAAGAACCATGCATCTAGCTCTGGGGAACTCCTCAGAGAAAGCCTGAGTGTAGAAGCACATCCATGAAATTAACTGCACAGAACTGACAAAGGAGGTCACCCAGAATGCCTAATAAGCCAAAGAAAGTATGGATATATAGCACAAAATGAGAATTCCAAAGCTAACTTAATAAACTGTGAGAATGCCAATGGGAGGAATTGGAGTTATAAATGTAGAATAACAAAGTGAAAGGCTCACAATCAAAACCTTGTGACTAATATCATATTTCACCTGTATTCTGGTTATCAAGTATCAAATGTAACAGTAAATTAATCAATCACAATTTACAGAAAAAAGGCTTATGA